GATGACTTATGCCTAATGTCACATAAACTTGAAGATCTGCAGGCAAAAACTAACAAGTTGATAGAAGAGGCAGCGAAGACGGGACTTCAGGTGAATATAGAGAAGACAGAAGTGATGAAGATACCGCACCACCACCATCAACAACAACAACAAACTCCAATCACCGTCAACGGGAGAAACTTAAAGGAAGTAACCTCCTTCACTTATCTAGGAAGCACTGTTTCAACTACAGGCGGGACGGACGAGGACGTCAAAGTCAGAATCGGAAAAGCAAGACAGGCGTTCATTAGCCTGAAACCAGTGTGGAGATCTTCTGCACTCAGCATGCGGAACAAGATACGGATTTTCAACACCAACGTCAAGTCAGTGCTCTTGTATGGCTCAGAGACTTGGCGCGTCACGAAAGGTATTTCCAATAAACTACAGACATTCATCAACAACTGCTTACGCTCGCTGCTGAAGATCAGATGGCCAGAAAAAATAAGCAACAAGGAACTCTGGGAACGAACCAACCAAGAACCTATCACGCAACAAATATGCAGGAAGAAGTGGAGATGGATTGGCCATGCACTGAGAAGGCCGACTGAGGACATCACGCGTCAGGCCCTCGAGTGGAATCCCCATGGGAAGCGACGAGTTGGACGTCCGAGGGTGACATGGAGGAGGTCGTGCGAGCAGGAAATGAGAGGTTGTGGGCTGTCGTGGGACCAGGTTCAAAAGATCTCAGAGAACAGAGGTCACTGGAGGCGTGCTACTGAAGCCCTATGTTCCACTAGGAACCCAAGGGACTAATAATAATAATAAATAAATTTCGGTATCCACTTCACCAGTCAATAACTATGAAGTCCGCGCCAAAAACTTCAACGCACCAGCACTTGAGTTGGGATAGAGGGTAAGTTGTAAACTTGAATCTTTTGAGCAGCGGCGTCAAAGTGCAGGACCAATAGAAAAACCAACTATTATATTACTAATCAGCAAACTGCGCGAATGGACTAACAACGTCGGTTGGTTACAACGCAAACTTTGAACACTGCGCGCTTCTGATATTGATAATGGAACCTATCTGTGTGATGGGAGATGGCAATCCACATCCGTCTCATGAATTTCAGCAAATTTCAATAAGATTATGCACACTAATGACTTGGTATTTAAATCATTTAATACTAGATACTTTCAAAAGTTATGAATTTGACGGTGCTTGTAAACTAGTATCCCTCATGTTAAGCCTGTTAAATGAAGGCGACATTTACTATTATCTAAACTTTAATGCCGTATGTACGCTGTAAAGTAATACTTCCTCGTTCATTTCATAACTAGCAAAACCTTCGGCAGTTTTTAAAAATTGAGTTTAATGACATTCCATCGGTACCACTCAGGGCTCAAGTCTTGTAGACATTTTGACATGTATCAACGTGATGAAGCCTGTAAACTGGCTTCTCTCATGTTAAAATCCTTTTTTTTAACACGATGATAAAACATTTATTTATTTATTATATATAAGAAGCAGCGGAAACCACTCAATGGAGACCAGACGGATAGGATCACGAGGTGATTACTTTCCAACACGTAACGATCCACTGGTGGGAGAGACCTGTGTCCAGCTCCTCCAATGGCAACAGTGACCAGATGATGGTGGGATTTTCCTGGATAACCAGGGCGAAGCTGCCAATAGTTAAACCGGTAGCGTCGCATAGTTACTGAAAGGCAGACTGTCGGCTCACGAACAGTGAAGTCCCGGAAGCTGTATGGCTAAAAGAACAGTACTCCCTAAAAATAGACGAACTTCAGATACAAGCGGAAGAAATTATCCGGAGCGCCATCGAAAAGTGCTATGAATTTAATCAAACTGCAATATCTAAAACGGTCTTGGGTTACTCGTGAAACCCAAAGGCAAGTTCAGAGCAAAAACAGCTCACGGTACAGACGGCGCACATTCCTCAAGGAAAGAGACTTGTTTAACCACTACGGGCTACGCATCCTGTTCAACAGAAGTGTTCGTAATAAGAGGCACGAATATCGGAATATCCTGATCTGAGAGCTAAGCTACGACCCGAAAAGCCTATATCGGCTTATGTCACGGCGGAAACCGAGGTATGCGGGTTAGAAATTGACCTCGCTTGAATAGCAGCGAGATAGCGGGACCGTCGAGCAACCGATTTGACGAGCAGCTCGACGCAGTGATCCATCCCCTTCCGAAATCCAGTAATGAAAGGAAGATCCGGGACTGCGATGCAGAGCTGAAGACTGTGAAGATTTCGTCAGACCAAGTGTTTGCGAAAATTTCGACACTCAAGGCAGGAAAATCTCTGGGCTGTGGAGAAGTAAGACCGGCGGCCCTACGGACTTGTGCCGAATGGGCTCCGATCGGAAAAGCGTCCAGAAATGTTGGTAATAAATGCTGTTTGCATCCAAACAAGCAGGTTCTTCGAGTCCTGACAACCACTCGCATGGAAACGAAGCTAACCGAAAATGACTTGACATTAAGTTGTGACATTGAAGCTATATTGAATGGTTCAGTGGAGAAACCCCACGTATTTTTCACCTTAACATGACAACAGTAGCTGGACGGAGTTGCATCTTTGGCTTAATTTATTCGGATGACTCTGTTTACAACGTTATAGACCAAAACAATTGCTACACCCTGCGTGACACCATGTAACAGTGGACCCAAATTCCCTCTCCTCTGTCCATCCCAATATTTAATGCTAGTTTAACATGGTATCTGTAGACAGTACAAATTTATCGAGTACCCACACATCTTCGAATCCACTTGTTCTCAACATTCGATGTGGAATATATTCTCGTGGATCATATAGCTCGCTATTGCTAAGATACTTCTCATAATCAGTGATTGTACCCTCGTTTAACTTCAGTGCCACCGTCTAACCAAATAATTTTTCACAACATCTGTGACCAGCAACGCTCAAATAATTATTTAGTTCAGAGGGCTTCGAATGGCACGATGGTTTGTTTCTTTTTAAACTTTTCAGCTTCACAGAGAAAAACAACATTCATATAATGCCCGTGAAAACGGCATACGTTCGCTTATTCCACTGATAGAAATTTAGCATCATTATTATTGTCATTAGTGCCAAGCATACTCATATGCACCCTATGCATACACTCGTTGGAAGTGAGTCAATTCCCTGAATAAAGTCCTCAAGGGTGGAGACTGATGAAACTCTCGCAGTTACAGACCAGTAGCATTACTTCCAGTGCTATCCAAGGTACTTGAAAGAGATGTCATTTAGGACTACCTAAGCGGAAATAATGTCGTTCATCCCACCCAACATGGCTTCAGAACCAGACGGTCATGTACCACTTGATGGCCTCCTGGGATGACTGGACCACTAAATGAGTCAACAAGCAACCAGTTCACTTTAACTTTCTTGACGTGACCGAAGTCCTCGATAGCGTCCCAAACTGCACTATGCTTGCTAAACTTGCAAAGGTGGGTATCACCGAACCACTCATAACATGGTTTACAGCATACCTAGAGGACACAGACTTTTGTAATGAAGTGAACAGAATTCACCCAACCTGGAGGAATGAAAGAACAAGAGTTTCTGAAGGAGAGGTCCTTGGGCCACTCCTGTCTTTACCATTTACAAAAGACCTTCCCATCGAAATCTCGCATACCCTCCTATTTGCCGACTACACCAAAATATGGAGGACAGTAGGTTGGCAAGAGGAGCCCAGGATACTCCAAAACTATCTGTTGCAGCTGGAGTCCTGGCCAGGCCTGAGTGGTTCCCGCTTTAACCTGGACAAGTGCAGGGAGATGTGTCTTCGTACACCAGAGGAAATGAAACCGGTTGCACCATCAACAAAAGTATAATCGTCAAGGTATACACAGAGATGGACTTAAGATTAAACTGTGACACACAAGTTACGAGTGCCAACTTTAAGGGAATGGCAGCAAGGGCGAAAGCCCTCGTTCACCTGAAAAGGAGGCTGCTTGAAGTCCTAATTCGAGAGTTGTCCTTCGTGGCTTTTAAAACCTGCGTTAGACCACGCCCGAATGTGCTGAACACTGTAGCCCCCTGTGCTATAGAGACGCGAGTGCTCTCGAGGAGGTAAGGAGGAGGGCGACAGGGTCGGCTATTGAGCTGACGGACAAAAAATTTACGCAATGCCTTGGAAAACTCAGCTTGTCCACAATAAGCTATCGAGAAAAAAGAGGCGACCCGATAGCAGCCTACGAGATCATTCATCAAGTGAACCATCCCATTAAGTCATCGTTATCGGTCCAAAAGTGACGGTCCCATGGGGAAATCATTCGCACACAACAGTGAGATTTAACTTCTGACAGCGAATATGTGTCTTGTCAAACACTGCCGAAAAAAAGTAGCCACAGCTACTGCATTTGACCCCTTCGAATTGCGGCTCTATAAGTATGTGGACATGAACACCTTACAACGACCATCCGTCGGTAACAGCTGGAGACATGCCGGTCTATCTCTGTGTTCCAAAAACGGAGTGTCTGCAATAAGACCCATACCTTCCACTTGTTACTATCGGTAACACTTACTTTTCTTAGAGTACTTTTCCCACCTGTTTTCTCATTCACCACTTACCCTATTCCTGGAACTACTTCTTGAAAAACGCTTATTACTTACTTCAAGGTGCTCCCGAAAGTTGAAACATGGGAGATTAATAGATCTTTTCAATAGCTCCGTGGTTTATTCAAGCAAGCCAAGCTAAACTTTGCGAAATAATACCTTCAAATGGACAACTACTACCTTCAGAGCAATGAGCTAGAAAAACATAGAAACTCCTGCCACCTTCAGAGTACAAGTGAACGAAAGGAACCTGGCCCCAACACCTAGAAGCAAGAGCTTAAGGAAATCAGTTTCTAAAACCCTCACTACTGATGTTATTTTTTGAATACGAAATCAGATATTGAACATTGGAAGGTCATTAAGCAAGTACATTTGACCTAGCGGTGGATTCCATCTGACAAGTCTTTATCGTATGTGGCCACTTATGGCCTCTCGTGCATGTTAAAGTTTGTGAGGTGTATGATTCTAGCAACGGTTTTACACCGGTCTTTAGTGTTGCTTGGAATCCTGCGCCTGGCTGCATCCAATGAGGCCTTAAGCGGACTGTTGTCAACAAGTCTTTCAAAAGAAAAGAGGTTTGTAATTCAATCTTTTTTTATTCATTGATTGTCGCTTCAATAAAAGATTGCTTAATTCGTTACTCCATGGGTGATTAACCACAGGTTATGAGCGTTTTTAGTATTCAAATATTAGTTTTACTATTGTCTCTACACTATCGTATCCTAGTTATACAGTGTACTATTAGTGTCATTTAATCTTTGTGGCTAAAAGAAATACTTAAATCTACACTTTTGTGGCTGATCTGTTATTTACTGTTAACAATATTGTGAACACATAAAACCGGTGGCTTTTGGAAATTGTTTGTCCTATCATTGGGGTTCAGTTCTTTTCGTTTGGTTGTACTTGAGTAGACGGAGTGGCGTCCGTTACTTCTTAAGGGAAATGGTTGTTTGCTGTAGGGTTCTATCCTCATAAATTTAGCATAAATAAAAACGCTATGGAGCTGCTGGTGAGATTCAAGATTTTCATGTGTTTGTTTAGCTCTATTAGGTGGATTGCAAAAGTTAAAAAGCAGGCGCTTATCGCTCACAGAAAGATTGGGAATAGATGAAATGAAGAGATGACGATATCGACGATTAAAAAGGGAAGCTCAGTAGACTTGTTGCATCAGCAATGCTTTGCATATACATATTGTAGACCATATATGCTAACATTACTATTCTACTTTCTTTTGAAAGATTCCTCTGAAGAAGTTGTGGTAGAGTGTTGTACTGCACAAATATTTAAAGGCGAAATCAGTTCGAACTGATCTTGCTGCTGCTATTTTAGCATAGTCCATTCGTGGCCTTGAGTTGGTTGCTCAAAATCTCATGGTTATGGTTGTAGATCTAGTCAGTATTATGATAGACTTGATGAATTGGCATATCACTTTATATTTTTATGTCAAATACCTAGGATAATATGATCGAGATATATGCAGTCGTACTTCTAACTAATACCTTTTCTCGGAAATGGTTGTACTAAGTTTTCTTTGTATTTGTTTGACCTATTTTTGATTTTGTGTGTAGATTGTTTACAAAAAGTTTGATTTTCATAAATGCACGTAGATGAGATGCTATCTGAACTTATCTAATCCTTTTGTTGTAAAGTGTTTTTGTATTTCCGTTTGAAGGGTAACAACGTCACTCATTAACCCAGTAATTGTAAATGTACTGGGTTGTGGGCCAACACTTATAGGGTTTACGATACTACCTGGCTGTTCACACTGAATTAAATACAGCGAAGCTTTTTTGAAAGTTCAATATTCAAGCTTGTCAACTACAGATGCCATTGCATTATAGGATGGAAAGTCATGATAGTTTTCACTCTTTCATTTTAGTATGAACGAGATCTATGGCATTGTGAATTTGATAGACATACCTGAGGAAAGAGACCTTGTAGCTTTGCATCATAGTTACATGATTAATCAGTAGCTTGGAAGCACTCTAAAACATTCGGAATAGAAAAGCGATGCAAACATTAAGAAAGATGAACAGAGTCAAGATACACTTAGTATTTCAAAGATTCACTTGGGAAAAACAAATGTTAGACTCTAGAGGAATTAAAATCCATAAAACTGTGACAAAAAGAAATGCATAGAACACAGAAGAATGACCCAACAAAAGTTAAAAAAAGACAAGACAGCAAGGAAGCAATTCTTCCTATCGACGAAGTCATTTACCAAACTGTACATTTAAAAATCTATATTAGGAAGGGTAGAACATTCCAGGGTTACTTCCAGCCATGGGTCAAGATGTACATAGTAGTGAAAGGAAGTTGCGTAGCACAAATAAAAATTTAGACTAAGAAAATCAGCAGGGGTCACGAAAATAAATATAAGTACTTAATTAAGGATTGATCTAGAACAGTCAGGGTTTTATGATGGCCATGACAAAAACAAAGGTCGAACGTACTTTTTCTAAAAGTTTAGTGCTGGTTTAAACTTCTGAACCGCTAATCCTTAAGCTGTACCCAGTTGCCGTGGTCTCACTACTTTTGAGTGATTTTATCGAACCTTGTATGGGATTTTGGAGTAGTATTCAACAAGGGCTGAGTGAACTGAATTTACAAGGTGTTCTGCAATCAATTTGAATATACATTTCTATTCTTATGTCACTAGCTGGGTTGAATAATGTTCTTCAGCACGTTTTGAAAATGAACGTTTGGCATGATCAATGTACTCCCCTCCACAGAAGCAGGTAAACTGGTACATGCAGAAGGATAAAACCAACCCAGAACCTTGCACACAAATGCATTACTTCAGGGTGCCACATTTCACAGTTCCATTCAAAGAACAAGTGGATAAAAAAAGTGATATCATGGTAGGCAAAGTTGTGTAAGAGAATAAACAATCTGAATATGAAGGTTGGTGTTAATATTCAGGCCTTAATACAAGACCAGGAGTGAATACAAGTGTATCATTGTGACTGATTTTCAGGCATTTCACCAAGGCTCTGCAACCACTGATTCCTGTCGTCTCCCGTACCTCAGCCAGAGAGTCTACATCTCCCTACCTGGCACAGACTAGCAGCCAGGGACTTTGTTAATTGGTGACACATCTTAATCTGCCCACCTTGAACTCTTTTACAACTTAATTCAACTGTCCCCAGCATGACGCGTTTAGTTAGACGGTGGCTTGGCATGCTCAGTACATCTTCCTGTTATGTCAGTCAAAGGTTCATAATCTCATCAATCCATTTGCCTTCCTTACCTAGTTACCGCCTGACTTCAACATTGCTCACACAGTGATTCCACCAAACAGGAGCATTGCTACGAAGACACCTGTAATCAAAACCCTGTAGCCGCTTCATGTCTTCTACTTTTAACGGGCATGTTTCACAGCTGAATACGAATACAATCAGCGTTCCATCCTTTTCGGGGTTTTCACTAACCATCGCCTTCTTCTTATGGTTATCATTAACAAGCATAAATAATTATTTACTTTTACCTAGTCCTGATGCCTTCTCCATCCCTCTTCCTTTCGCCACCCACCATTGCTCGTGGTTGTTGGGAAGACTCTTGATCACTTTATGTTTAAGTTGTTCCCGCTCTTCCTTGTGGTGAGTGCCAGCTTAATTTAGTCTTCTCACATTACTCAGTTCGGATGAGGTTTCGAATTCCAATGATGTTTGCTAACTGTCGGGTGTAGGTGACCTACTGCCTTTACCACTATTTCTACGTCGGACTGAATACTACGTCTGGTTTTATCAGGATGAGCATTGCTGTCATCTTCAGATAAATACTTAGCTATCTCCTCCCTAAATACATGCTTGATGTTCTCATCTTCAAGTTGAGCACAAACAAAGATGGCTTATATATAATCTGTCTGTGCCCATCTTTGGTTTAATGTTGGCGGACGCCATGTAAGAGGGTATCTCTTCTCATGCTTGAAATTAGTGCTAGTCAGAAACAAGTGATTGTCAGAATGAAGTTGCGACAGATGATCACCGTTGTCGGTTTACTGTTAGGGGATTCTGTAGGTGTAGACTGGAAAAAGGTTAGGGGCGGTCAGACTAAAACATGGCATAACTGAATGAAGTCCTTGGCTGTTGGGCAGAGCCGTGTAGAACGATACAGACTGGCAGATTGGGGTCCGCATGAAAACAGAAACTAGTGGGTGGAGACTAGGTGACATAGCTCATAATCGGTCTCATTGGCGCTTTTGGCCACTTATTTTTATCTGTATCCTTCATCTTTGTGCTTTCTTGCTTAGTGTGTTGATGTGAAGTCTGGCAACCTGGACGGTTAGGGAATAATACCTGGTCCCATGGTGATATTGATGATGACGATGGTGCTATAAGAACTGCATCTGAAAAGTTGACTTTCAGTTGAATGTTGGACAGTTTCCGTTAGAAATCATCCTCCACTTCATACTGGCTTCAACCAGTAGGTGCGTAGTTAGAGATTACGAAGAGATGATGGTGAGTTTCACTATTCCCTTTAGTCTTTATTTCATTATTCAGCTGAACGGCAAGCAGGTGATTACCAACTGAGATCCAGTGAAGCATTTCACTATCTGCCTTGGACTTGACATTATTACATACACCCACAAGACCTGGACAGCTAGCCATCAAATCTCTAGAAACTCGAAGGGTTCATTTCTCAAATTCAGCATATTGGCAGAGTGAGGCTATTAAATAACCGCTCTTGTGTCCAGTATGTGTGTCCTACAAACATAGTACACTTCCGTGGCCCGAAATGTCACACTCCTAACTATCAGGGCTTGTTGGTTGATTTGACGAAGAGTGCGAATAATAAAAGCTCTAATGTGTATTTTCGAGCGCGGTGTATGGAGATCAGAAACACTGTTTCTCAAACTCCAAACGCTGCCAAGATCTGTAGAGCTAAAACAAATTAAAAATAACCGAGAGACGGAGATGGTGAAGCTTGGTAGTGATCTGAGGGACTTGAGTGCTGACAGACTTGTGATGGTGGCTACTACTCTCCGTTAGTCCTTCGTTTCAGCTACAAATCACCACATACGAGATGAAATTTTATTACTCTGTCATCTTCATGCGATTACTTATGATCCGTATAGTTGAATACATCTCCATGACAGACAAACAAACAAGATCAACGTAGAAATTCGCACACAAGTACATATGTTCACTTTGACACACTTCACAGTAGTATGCAAAAAAACAAGTGAATGAGGATGACGTATTCAAATTAGGTAAAGCTGTATTGGAGGAGGAGAGTAGTGAATTTCAAAATGAAGTTAGTCGAAACATTCAAACTTTAGAAACGTCAAAGAGTGAATACATCTATGCCATTTTGACCGATTTGCAGCCATCTCATCAACCATATTCCTATTGTCTTGGGGACCCTAGCCAGCCAGGTAGTCTATGTCTCCTCACATTGCTCAGACCAACAGTTGGGGACTTTGTTGAGTGATGTCACATCTTGGTCTACCTCCCCCCTGAACCCTCTTCCAACTTCATCTAGTTTCCCCTAGCATGGTACATCGAGAGAAGTGCTGATCAGCATCTCCATGGTATGAATCCGTTGATGTCATTCTATCACTCAAGAGAATTCTTCATTTTTCCTCCTCATATTTATTATCAGATTTATATTGTAAAGTAATGTAGCATTTATACAATGTGCTTATTATCTCTTGTATTTAAAAAAAATTTTTCCCCTTAGTGAAAAATGTACAATGAGTACAACTCATTGTGTACCAATTGCTTTACACCTTAATCGTACATGCCTTGGTAATCATTTACCTTACAAACTCACAGCTCCAATACCACTTGATGAAGATGTGACATTTTATAATCTTGAATTTTGGACTGCTTTACAGTCTATACCAGCTTGTTGGGATAAATTACAGGTAAACGCTATGATAACATTGAAATTAATTCTAGCAGCAAAGTAATATTTCATAGACTTTTACTGATTCCTTTTATATTTCATTATAACTGTTTGATTTGTTGATACCGCATAATGATTAAGGGTGGAATGAAAATCTGTCATAGTAGGATTGAAACCAGTCCCCTCTGGGTACTGACCTCTGTAATCTGCTAACTAACTATGAGACCTCGAGGCCACCGGTTCGAATCCACAACTATCTCAGATAGTCACACTGATAATTTATTTTCTTGTTAAAGTTTCTAGTTAGAATAAAATCTTAAATATATACGTATGTATGGTACACTTGCTGCCGTATTTTGGAGCATAATTTGGAGACGCTATGACCACCTACTATCTATAAGATCGCATGCTCAAATCTCTGTCATGTTAGTTGACATTAAAATGAGTGATGAATACAAATCTGTAACCATGTTTAGACTTTCAAAGTAAGCTGTGAAACTGACTACCCTGTTATTTTAGGCTACAATACCTAAATCACTTTGCAGTAGCTTCATTTAATTTCAGTGTGGCTATCAAATTATCTGGTCAGTCATGTTGTAGTCCACTGGGTGTCTGCCAGTGTTATGCAGGACTCACGTTCTGTGCTATTTGGACTTGTAAGCTGGACCCCAGTGAGTTATTTTGTTTCCCACTGAGACTTGGACCCAGTACCCATCGTTTCAAAGGCTAAAGCTTCTAAGAACAAAAAGTGACTCCATGGCCTAGTAGACAACGTTTTTAGCGTTTGGAGCGATGGCTTCCTATTTTCTACACACTTCAAACCAACAGTTAGCGACTTTACTGACTGATGCAAGGTCTTGGCTTGACCACCCCTAGTTTTATTGCAGCTTAATCCTATTTCAGCTAACCATTGTACATCGAGGCAGTCGGTGGGTTCGGCGTGCTCAGCACATGTATCCAAGCCATCTCAGTCGCTTGAGATTCACGACTTCATCAAGCGGTTTACCTTCCTTACCTATTAATCTGTAATACTTTTAGTTTGCACATATTTATCAATTGATTATCGAATGTCTATTATCGTCACAAGCTTATTTATTATATTTCATTTTCTTTTGTAACAATCCTGATTGATGATGGTACTATTGTCAATGATATGAATGTTACAGTACTTCTTGTGCTCTGTATATATCCCTGAATGTGTTGTTATCCAGAGTGGAAAATCTGTTGGTATTACACATTCATCAATTGATATTAATCAAAGGAATGGGTCAAAATCAGTTCATCATTCAGTTGGTATAACATCTGATGAATTGAAAATTGACAGTTATTTATCGTCACCTGAATCATCATCGTCATCATCATCATCATCATCTGCTTCATCAACTATTCATCGAGTTGTCTTACCAGAAGCTGAAATGTGTGAAGCTGTCCATAAAGCTTGTCCACTTTTATTTTCAATTATCCAATCAATGAATAACAATAAAAGAAACAATGTTGATAACCTTGAAATTATTGGTAACAGCGCCAGTAGTAGTAATGGCCACATGAAAGATGATATTCATGATAATACTAAACGTAGATTTTCATATCCAAAATTCTTGGATTGTTCATTGTATACACCAGGATGTCGACAGGTAATTTCTTCTCTCTTTTTCGTCTCACTTCATTTTATTGTCATGTTAGGATAATGATTATTGTAGTTAAGATGAAAGAGTTACCTACAACTTAGAGAATGATGAAGGTGAGCTAGCAAGTATTGGATTACAAGAGTAAACGATATCAAAATGGAACTTTAGAGGCTAGTGTCGTCTATAGGAAACCTTCCTACTCGAATCGCTACTTAAACTTCAAATCATCTCACTCCATCTGTGTTAAAGTAGGTCTAATTAAATGCCCAAGCGAAAAAGCTTGCTAGTAGAGTAGGAAATATATGACAAGAAATTAGATACATCTAGAATACCTTATGCGTCTCGATTTATCAATAAATTCATAATAATTCTACTACTATTAGTAATAATGATGACAAGGTTGAGAGAGAGAGAATTCAAAGCCTCTGGTGTGTTACTCTATACAAGGAAGTCACCTCAGAAGTATTAAGAAGAATTCTCAGTAAAACTGGCTGGAGTTAAAGTGTCATTGAAGCTAAAAAAAACTTGTTTAGAAACAACCTCTGTCGGTTAAAAGATCCTGTTGATGCAATTGAGTCAACTCTCTACCTCATCTTTATCGACTTTGTAAAGGCCTTCGATGGTGGTGTCGACCGAGAAGTAATTTGGCAGTTGCTTCAACACTATGGAGCGCCACAAATCTTTATCAACCTCATTCAACAGCTATATGAAGACGCCACATTCCAAGTGATTCACAATGGAAAGCTCAGTGATACCTTCAAGTGAAGACAGGAGTAAGACAAGGTTGGCTTTTACTATCACCGATCATCTTCCTGATTGTGGTCGACTCGACTGGATCATGCAGCAAACATTGAGGAGAGAGAAGGTGGGCATACGCTGACCAGACCAATGAAAAGAGCCTAGAAGATTTCGCCGATGACGAATTGTGTCTAATGTCTTGTCGCACAAACCCAAAGATGTACAGGCGAAAACTAACAAGTTGACAGAAGAGGCAGCGAAAACGGGCTTCAAGTGAATGGTGATGAAGATATCCAACCAACAACAGCATCAATAACAAGCACCCATCACCGTTAACGGGAAAAACCTAAAGGAAATAGTCTCTTTCACCTACCTACCTGCCTAGGTAGCATCGTTTCAGTTACAGGCAGCACAGGCACAGACGAGGAGGTCAAAACCAGCCAGGATCAGAAACGCAAGACAGGCCTTTGCATTAACCTGAAACCAGTGTGCAGATCTTCTGCACTCCACTCAGCATAAAGCGTGAACAACATCAGGATTTTCAACACCAATTCAGTCAAGTAAGTCAGTGCTTCCATGTGATGGTTGAAAGACTTGGCGTGTTACGAAAGGCACTTTCAACAAACTACAGATATCAACAACTGCCTACACTGGCTCATTACTGAAGCTCAGATGGCCAGAATAACAAGAATAAGCAACAAGGAACTCTGTCAACGAAGCAAGAACCTATCGTCCGACGAATATACACTAGAAGAAAGTGGAGATGGATTGGGCATGGACTGAGAAGACCATTCGGGGACATCACGCGTTAGGCCAGGCCGTCGAGTGGAACCCGCATAGGAAACGACAAGTTGGACGTCGGTGGCGAGGGTGACATGGCGGAGATGGTGTGAAGAAGAAATGAGAGGTTGTGGGCAGTCATGGAGCCAGGTTGAATAGATTGCAGATTGGAGAGTGAAATGGAGACGTGCTACTGAAGCCCTATATGTTCCACTAGGAACCCAAGGGACAAATAATAATATAATAATACGTACTGAGTGATTGATGAATGTAGCGATTAAAAGAATTTCAATTTCTCCGAAATTATTCCATTAGTTTATTGACGAGTGGACTTTTTCACAATCAAAAATGTCTAGATAATTTTTAGTGCTAAAATTTTTCATTTATCCCGCTTACTGGTTTATTCATTATTATTATAATTATATTGAAAGGTCATGGGTGCATGAACACTGTATTTATTCATATACAGTTAATGATATTGTCTAGACTATGTGGTGACAGCACAAATTTTCAGTCGTTTATTTGTCAATTGTATACAATGTCTCATTTGTCCCCAAGGTTAGAAATAATCAATAAGAATAATCTCCTTGATGGTTAGCCGTGGAATTTAGAATGCTCATTTCACCCTATTTGGAGGCTTGTCACCTGGATGTTTTACCTTACACCCAAGTGAGTGGTGCTGCTCTCGTTGAGGCACAATGGCCACCTCTTATACAACGGGTATCAGGTGTCATTTGATACTTGTAATCTCCTATTGTTGTACTGAACCACCTAGTGAGTCATACTTTGGCATTTGAGTCTCAGTGGGGAATAAAATCACTCACTGCGGTGCAGGTAAATCCAAGCAGTGAATGAATCCTAAATAGGACAAAACATGCATCCTGGATTCAACTTCTACCCACCAAGTAGATTACGACATAATAAGTAATCAAGTAGTATCGAAACCTGCGTATAGGAGCCCATCTGCCGACAGACATTGAGCGATTCGACCTAGTATAGCACTGGGAGGTTACTAGTATGAAAAAATCTACGGGAAAATCCTCCGCATCCAATAGTTGACTGATAAAGCCAAGTAGACAGACAAATTGGATTTTATTTACTCTGGTTACAAGCTTCCCCTGTCTGATGTAGTAATAATAATAATAATAATAATAATAATAATAATAATAATAATAATAATAATCGGGGTGGGGGGTTACTATGACGGTAGTTTCACCTTCGGAAGTTTAGTTCGTATTACATTAACTAGTAGTTGTATACTGAGATTGTGACTTATCGTTTTAGAGTTCTAACGATTGGGTCACGGGTTCGAGCCGCGTTCTATCTACCAAGATTTCGGCAGCCAGTTAGTATCATTAGCTCTCCCAAATTAGATGTGACTTATTACTACCTATACTGCATAAATGTCCACATAGTTACTGAGTTACATTTCGATTTCTATTCGTTGTTGTTAGTATTAAAAGTACAGCTGGTCAACTATCGTGTTATTACAAAAAGGAAAGGACAAATACAATTAGAGAATTATTGAAATTGTTTCCTTTAATGTGGTGACAAAATGAGAGATTTGAATATGAAAAATAAGTTCATATTATCCTTTGACAGAGACACAGAGAGACAAATCAATATGGATAAGCAGCTTACATTGGAATTCAGAATGTGTTTCATCCTGTCTGGGACTCGTCAGCTGGATGCGCTTATCATCAATGCTGTCAACTAAAATTCCCAGCAACACTAAGGGATATTCGTAAAGGATCCTATATGCTTATTGTAACCGCTCGATTCGGTCCAGTGAACGATGTAAAACTGACGGAACATGAGCACTGACTGCCCCTACCGTGGAAGACTAGGTCTTCTTGAGTTACCTTAAAAAGAAGGGTTATTGCATGATCGCAGAGCCCAGGAGACATCTATCAGAAGCCGATCACGTACGGCCTTTCTGATGTCACGAAAATTGGACTGTATTATGGAAGGTGTGCTCAGACATACGTTCTGTGGTTATGAATCATCTCTAACCATTGATGACTGATCTAAGCTATCATAAATGCATCAATTCATTGTTTACAAACATTGTTAAGAGTAAGGGTAACTGCTTTCTGTCCAGTTACTATTTAACAGACCTTTGTGGTACGGTAGGACCTCTAGGGAATAAGCTTCTCACCGGCACAGCTCGTTGAGTCGTGACATACAAGCCCGACCACCACGTCAAGGTAGTATCTATCAGTCAGGTGTTACCAAGTGACTAATGCATAAGTCAGGCATAGAGTTTTAAGTAGTAGAGATAAGACAGTTGATGCGGTTGTGAACCTTCATCGACTGAGATGGCTGGGAAGCATACCTAACCACCGTCTACCTCGTCGCACAATGTTGATCGAAGTAGGTTCAGGGTGGAAAAAGATTAAGGTAGCCAGACTAAAATATGGCATCAATTCATGGAGTCGTCGACTTGGTTTGAGCAATGTGGGGCGATGCAGAATAGCTGATTGGGGTTTGCAGGACGAGAGACACCAGTGGTTAGAGACTAGATAATATAGCGCAGATGTATACACACAGTATCGTTATCTTAACCGCTATACTTGAACTGATTATCTTCTGATTCTTCCTTCTCTTTTACTTCTTCTTACTTCCTGTGATCGGCGTTTCTTTCTTTCTTCACCTTCCATTTTATTTTCTCGTTACTTGATGTGCTGATATGAAGTGTGACGGCAGCTTGGACCGTTGTACAGTAATACCTGGTCATATGCTATAAAACTGTAGCCGTTGCATACAGACCGGCTACCGTGCCTCAGTAATCTACTGAATGTGATACGCTCCGGGTTGTAGCCTCAGTGGAATATTCAGTTGATGTATCCCATTATCATCATCAATATCAACATAGGACCAGGCATTACTACATAACGGTCCGAGTTCCCACCACACCTCGTATCAGTAGTAAGTCAGGCAGAAACGTAGCGAGGTGAAAGATGAAGTAAGGAAAATTCAGTCAAAAGCAATATAAACTACGAAAAGAGAGAAAGAAAGAATGAGAAAATGGTGAGATTCGGTACAGCATCGTTAGCGTGAGGATACATCTGCGCAACTCACATCGGTCCTGAACCATGTGACTGCCTGGAGTCTCCAACCACTGATTCCTCTTGTCATCTAGACCCCAACCGGCTAGTTTGCATCGTCCCTCTACATAGCTCAAACCAATAGTCAGAGACTTCATGCAGTGATGGCATGTTTTAGTCTGGTCACCTTAGACCTTTTTCCAACCTGAACCTACTTCGGTCAACATTGTATGACCAGGCAATCGGTGACACGTAGTACGTGTCTCAACCATCTCAGTCAATCAAGGTTTATAACCTTGTCAACCGACCGACCTCTTCTCCCTAAAATTCTATACCTAACTTCTGCATTACTCATAGGGTGACACCATGGAATACGGCCTATACTACAAAAGCAACGGTGGTCAAACACTTGAAGCCAACCTTCTCATGTCTTCCACCTTCAATGGTCATGTTTCACAACCATGGAGTAGAAGAGAGTGGACTACTGTGCAGTACACTTGACTATTAATAGACAATAGGATATCACACCGGCGCCACAGGTGGCGAAAATTGACGAAAGCCAATCGAGCCTTTTCTATTCGTGCAGACATTTCACCGGCCACTGACCAACACACCAACTCTCATCCTACTTCACTTACCAGGTAAGTGAAGTCGTCAACACACTCAACCACTACACTCTATTATTAGCCAAGGCACCTACCTCTAAACATCAATCCTGGAGCAACAATTTGCATTTCGGTGGTCAGAACCGCATCACAAACATTCTCAAATTCACACTCAAAGTGTTCACAAGACTCTGCATCTTGTCAGCGTCTTCACAGGACTCCCTGGACAACTCACCATAGGCTGTAACACACCGACAAGTGTTCGAGTAGAGAGCCTTGAATAATAAGGTGATGTAGTTACTCGGGATGCCTTTCAGTGAGAGACATTGCCATAAGACTTCTTGATCAACGGAGTCGATTGTCGACTTCAGGTTGAGAAATACAGCTATTGTCGGGCGTCGGTAAGTGTGCCTATGTTCCAGGACCTGGAGCCGAGTGAATATCTAGTCAATACACTCACGGCCGGATCTAAAGCCTGCTTGGTTTTCTCAGGCTTGCTGTTCACGAGCTCCACTCTGGTGTCGAAGAATTATAGGACCTAGAATTTTTGACACTATGTTCGTCAGGTTGATTTCTCTGTGGGGAGCGGACCGATCTCAATGTTCCATTCAGGAACCGACTGGGTAGCGGGCAACACAGTGGTGGCTGGGTGCCAGTTAAACTGTTCCTCAAAGTGTTCTGCACATGGTTCAAGTCGTCTCCCCTGTGAGTGAATCACAGTTCCGTCCTTCTCTGCTATAGCCTCACTAAGTGTTGTTGACTTTTTGTCCCCCAGTCTCCTTAATAAGTCTAAATGGGTCACAAATAGATGGAAACACACCTTCGCTATTAAGTTATTCTTATTATCCGGTTTCTAGGAGATAGTATAAAACCCAGTCACTTAGACAATGGTGAAGCGATGCTTTCAACATTTATGAATCCTTGAATTGTGATTGAAGAATTTACTGAAACTCGAATTTATGTTATTGATATAATGTTAATGTTCTATTTTGTTGCATAGACCCATTCTGGTGTCATTCAATCACGTTTATTGTGTATATTCCTTTTCTTTTCTATGATTAACTTAAGAATAAGTTAACCGCTCGTTTATTTCAAAGTAATGGAGGTGGATGTCAATCACCACTTGTTACAACATCATTAAGAAGAAATTGGTAAGCTTTTTTTCTTGAAAAAAAATTATTTTATTGAATACTATTTCATACTTCTTCTTTCTTGGTTGTTATTTATTGAATCGGTGAATAACTGAGCGCCTTTACAACTGTTATATTGATTTCAAGTTGTTATTCATCGAAGACTGACATCAGTTGGAGGAACAAAGGAAACCTGGGAGCACTGGACAGCTGTTTCGTCCTAGTATGGGACTCCTCAGCAGTGCGCACCCACGATGGTTATATGATGAGATAGGATCCATCCTTGTGTTGTTAATTTCTTTGAAGGATTGATTACTGATGATAAGCAGAAATGGCGGTAAAATTTACTGCAGACTGAATTAATGCATGAACTAATCAGACGATCATGTTCCCTGGAGTCAGTGTTAAGGGGACTAGATGACGATGTGGAAAGTTTTTTCTTATAAAAAAAAAGGTAGTTTGACAAGATAAATATGTAACAAGAATCTATACTCAAGGTAATGAAGTTTATTATTTAGCAATAGCTGATATATCCTGTTAAAAGGAACTCTTACAACCAAACAATTACCTCTATGGCAATTGCGTGAAGTTATTGTTATTTATTATTTATCCCTTGGGTTTACTCTATTCTCTACAGTCTTTTGAACCTGGCTCCACGACTGTCTATAAGCTTTCATTTCTTTCTCACATGATCTCCTCCGTTTCACTCTTGGATGCCCAACTCGTCGTTTCCTATGCGGGTTCCACTTGAGGGCCTGGCCTGATGCGTGATGCCCCCAATCGACCTTCTCAGTGTATGTCCAATCCAGTTCATCTCCAGTTTCTTCCAGTGCATATTTGTTAGGCGATAGATTCTTGGTTGGTTCATTGCTAGGTCAGAGTCCCTTCTTGTCTATTCTTTCTGGCCATCTAATCTTCAGTATGGAGTGAGCGTAGGCAGCAGCTGTTGATGATGTATGTATGCAGTTTGTTGGAAATGCTTCCCGTAACATGCCAAGTCTGTCAACCATCACATAGAAGCACTGATGTACTTGACTGACTTAGTGTTGAAAATCCGGATCTTGTTCCACATGCTGAGTGCGATGATGTGCAGTAGATCTCCACACTGATTTCAGATTAATGAAGGAAGGCCTGTCTTGCTGTTTTTCTGATTCTGGCTTTGACATCCTCATCTGTGCCGCCTGCAGTTTAGATGATGCTGTTTAGGTAGGTGGGTGAAAGAGACAAATTCCATTAGATTTCCCCCGTTGATGATCATTGGTGTTTGTTGTTGTCGTTGTTGGTTGGATATCTTCACCACCTCTGTCTTCTCTACGTTCACCTGAAGTCTCGTCTTCGTTGTCTCGCCTCTTCTGCCAACTTGTTGGTTTCCTCCTGTAGATCTTTGACTTTGTGTGACATTAGACATAAATCATGATGGGTGAAATCCAAATCTTCTAGGCTCTTTTCATCGGTTCTCACAGTTTGTTGCACGATCCAGTCGAGTCGACCACAATCAGGAAGATGATCGGTGATAGTAAACGCCAACCTTGTCTTACTCCTGTCTTCACTTGACAGGTATCACTGAGCTTTCCATTGTGAATCATTTGGCATATAGCATCGTCATATAGCTGAGTAAAGTGTTTGGGGACGTATTCTCAGTGTCGGTAGGTTGAAATTATTCTTTCTAATTCTGCAGTTACCTTCTAAATTATACTTCGAGAATACTTTTTGCATATATCGTTGGGTTCACATGTAAATCACTTCTCAGTTCTCTATCCTCTTTATACTAAGTAACAAACACATTTCAAGTAAAGGTTTTCTTGTGTTTTTCTGCCTAATGTCCTTTGTGTGTAGTTGTTAGTGTTGTAACCGAGTGGAATTACCGACGTGAGTATAACGATACTGAGATTCCATAGACATCTCAACCGAATACTGTTACGACTGACTTCCCTTAGTCCCTTCTGCTTCACTGAGCCGCGTAAAATCAGAAGACAAAAGACCGGCGTATGACTGCAGGAACAATAACAATTTTATCCGACAAATACATGACTGCCTTTTTGCCACTATATATCAGTTAGATTCTATTAAAATTTCATCTGAATAAAGCTTGATCGTACTGAGTTGAATCGAAATGCTGATAATGTAAACACTGCCTTGTTCTTTCTGTAGCACTTCTACAAAAGATGGTAAATAATCCTCTTTCTCATCACGACATATCAGAGATATGTTCAGTTTACAATTAAACATGGGATAAGTTGATGAGGTTGCAAATCTTCAACGATTCAGGTGACTTGGCCATATGTTGTGCTTGGTTATCACCTTCATGGGTATGGTGCAATGCTAGCAGAAGTTGAATTAGGTTGGAAGACTCAGAGTGACCAGATCAAGATGTGGTAACAGTTGATGAAGTCTATGACTGTTGGTCTCAGTCATATGGGATAGTGCCAAATACCTAGCTGTGATCTCCGAGACGACAGGAACCAGTAGTTGAGGACTCGTTGTGATATGGCTGAAAATTGATCACAATGAAATATGGCAACTTGAACTGATGTACTTGTTTGCAAGGTTCTACGTTGATTTTCTCGGTCATAATCGTTTGTCCAACAGTCAACAAATTTCATACACATCATCAATCCCATGTTGTTTTGTACAAACTGTAGAAAAATGCCGACTGCATACCAATAAAAGAATTTTGTTACTATGGTATTGTGTGTTTCAGTTGTATAGACACTGAAGTATTATTCATTGAGTTGTGAGTTCGAACTCACTCTTCTTATTTTGACTTAGGTAAAATAACCAGCGTCAATAAATTATCATTGGCTGGCGGGGCGGCTGGGGGTGACTGAGTAAGTGCATAACCCAATTGAAGTCTGTTTACTCGAACACCTGTGGGTGTGTTACAGCCTATAGTGAGATATCAGATGAGTTGTGTACGTTGAGTGTTGTCCTTCAAAGATGCCCACTCTCTATTGTTATTCAATTTTATCATAGATATTCTTATGGAGGTCTACCTATCAACATCTTACTACACAGAGATTCACCTGATCAACAGTACTCCAACTAACAATAGACTGTGAAGTGGTTGAGTGCGTTGAACACTTCACTCACCTGGGAAGCCGGATCAGACCTGATGCGTTGGTCAGTGGTCGAGGAAATGCCTGCACAAATACAAAAGGCTTAGTTGACTTTGCCAACTTACGCCATCTGTGGCGCCACCGCAATATCTGATTGTCTAATAATAGTCAAGTGTACTGTGAAGCAGTCCTCTCTGTTCTACTGTATGACTGTGAAACGTGACCACTAAAAGGTAGAAGATATGAGAAGGTTTCGAGTGTCTGACCACCGTTGCCTTCGCAGTATAGGCCGTGTTTCATGGTGTCACCATGTGAGTAACGCAAAAGTCAGACGCAGAGTTATATGGAGAAGAGGTAAGACAGTTGATGCGGTTGTGAACCTTCCTCGACTGAAAGTGCTGGCTGGAGCATTTATTACGTGTGCCAAACCACCGTCTGCCTAGTCACACAATGTTGACCGAACTAGGTTGAGGCTGGAGGTGGTCAGACTACAACATGCCATCATTGCATGAAGTCTCTGACTATTGGTTTGAGCTATGTAGAGGGACGATGCAAACTAGCCGGTTGGGGTCTAGAGGACAAGAGGAATCAGTGGTTGGAGACTCCAGGCAGTCACATAGTTCAGAAGTGATGTCAGTGGCGCAAATGTATCCTCACACAGATTGTCCTAATGTTAACGATGCTGTACCGAATCTCACCATTTTCTCATTCTTTCTTTCTCTCTTTTCATACTTTATATTTCCCGTGACCGAATTTTCTTTTCTTCATCTTCCACTTCGCTGCGTTTTTACTTGATGTACTACTGATATGAGGTGTGGTGGGAACTCGAACCGTTACATAGGAATACATGGTCGTGTGTTGACTTGGATCGGATTGAATTGACTGCTATCACAACACTGGTCTTATAATAATGGTAATAATATGACTCTTCTTGCAGTGTGTATTGTTTGATTCCATTTCTGGTTTATTGCGCTTACTGAAGCGCGCTGTACCATTACCATGAAGTTAGAGAAGCACTGGTATTCAAATCTCTTGTGTAAAGTTCTGATGGAATTTCTAGTGTGATATGAAAAGTGTTTTATTCAATTCTCTTTTTTTCTTAAAATATTTTATTGTTCACCTTTATAGGATTCCTGGTATAGAACGATGCAGTTTTCCATGTCGGCGACCTCATTTTGATTCAGAACACTATAAACTAGCTAGATGGATCACAGGTTGTGCTGCTGTAGTTTGCTTATGTACTAATATTTTTACATTGGTAAGTTATGGTTGGCGCATTATTCTTGCATATGTGTGTGTGTGTGTGTGTCATTTCCGCGACTTTTTAAGCATGACACTGCGTCTCAATGTTTACTGATTATTATTATTATTACTTGTCCCTTGGGTTGCTAGTGGAACATACAGGGCTTCGTTAGCACGTCGCCATTTCACTGTCTTCTCTACAGTTTTTTGAACCCTCAAGCTTTCATTTCATCCTCACATGATCTCCTCCATGTCACCCTCACCTTGGACGCCCAACTTGTCATTTCCCCTTTTGAATTCCACTTGATTGCCTGGCCTGATGCGTGATGTCCCCAATGGGTTTTCTCAGTGTGTATGTACAATCCAATCCATCTTCATTTTCTTCTTCCACTTACCAAATGTATCTCTGAGCACTATCCTGCATGGTTGCTAAGGGGAGAATGTGAATCAATTAGTAGTTCAATTCATTAGCATTTAGTCAACTCTGGACATATAGCTAGCTGTATCAGAGTCCGCCCCACTGTCATTTACAGAGAATCAAAATGAATAGTTCAGTAGGAGTACGATTTCGACAGTTGTGCAACACGGCGGAAGCCCATAGGTAATTTACCAGTTCAAGCTTGATCTCTGCATGCAGAAGCAGTATGCTCAATCTCTTATCTTACAATAATCTTCACAGCTTCACAATCTTTCCGGTTTCGCTATAATTGGTTAGTTTACTATTGTCACCTTCATTGTGTATGATGCTTGCTTCCTTCTTCACCTTCCTTACATCTACCTATCAAATGGACACATTCAACTACTCACATGCACCAACACTTTTCACCTTATCAAACTCCTTATCCACTGTCTTCCACTGTCTAAAAGTTCATTCAACTGTTGATTGATTAAAATTCTTTTCTTGACAAGCATGCAGAATAGTGCTCAGAGATATTTTTGGAAAGTGTACGCTTTGTGTGGTCTATATAAAAGGCTTCACAGGAGCGAGTAAATTTGTGGACAAACAATGAGGTGACCCAAAGCGGCAATTTGTTCTTAACGCACTCCTATCCCGATTTATTGAGAGAACTTGAAATTAAAACAGAATACGGAGCAACTACTCATAGTTTCAAAGAAGACCTTGTTTATGAACGTTGGTTTTCAAAGGTGATATGGTAGCAGAGATCCTGAAGAATCGGGTATCCAGATGTCTGAAGAAGATATTCTTCTCTGAGAAGCTACAGATTAGCTTCTCTAGTCAACAATTTGACCCACGGTGTATTCAGGACAAGTTTCAGCTTTGGGCCACCTCAATGTATGTTTCTACAAATTCACTTGCTCTTGTGGAGCTAGTTATGCAGGTCACATAAAACACGCACTTTACAAACGTGTCTCTTAGACTATCCTAAAGGATTATTACGCAATCGCTTTGCGTTCTTGATTTCAGTGTTTTATCACTAGGTGGCATAATGATGAAATTATACACTATTGTTTAACAATGGTTGCCTGAGGTAGCCAGACTAAAATATGGCACCAATATATGAAGTCTTTGACTGTTAGTTTGACCCATGTGGGGTGATGCAGACTGGGTGGTTGGGGTCTGGGGACAAGAGGAACCAGTGGTTGGAGAATCTGGATGATATGGCTGAGAACCGAAGTCAGTGGCGCAGATGTATCGCCACACACATTATCCCCATCTCAACACCATACCGATTCTCACCATTTTCTCATTCTTCCTTTCTTTCTTCTCCTACTTTGTATTTCTTTTGACTGAATTTTCTTGTCTTCATCTTCCACCTAACTGCCTTTTTACTTGATGTACTAGGGATATGAGGTGTGGTGGGAATTCGGACCGTTAGGCAGTAATGCCTGGTCCTATGTTGATATTGATGATGATTGCTTAGTAATAGACTGTTATATGTTAGTGATATGTGTATGAATACGATTACAGAGCTTTAGAAGAAGGATATCGTCGAAAAAGAGGAGTAACTTGTGCATCGAGATAATCAACTAACATGAGGTCAAGGCATTTCAACTGGGAATTGTGGCGAATATTTGAAACTTACGATGTTCATGTTCAGAATAAGTTGTTATTTGCACCTAAGATTTATGTTGGCAAACATTTCAATGTTATGCTAGACAGCATCATTAGTACATGATAACTTCACAAGGAACTTAAGTTATTGCTTGTGTGCCCTGCTCTACCTACTTCAGCCTTAATACATAAAGATCCGTATCGAATTGAATTGCGTTTATTAATGTAGAGTTAAGGCAGTGTAGTACAGTACGATTCCATATTGGATATGTGATCATGATAAACAATTTATGCTTGGAACGTCATCCAGTAAACAATATTGTATTGCGCTTCATTATTTATCAATTAAACATATTCACTATGTTTCTTATTGCTATTACAGATGAGTGTTGACTATCTTGTTTCATTTTGCACGAGTGGATGTTGTTCGAAAGCGGTAGCAGTCGATCTCCAGGAATCTCTGAATCTAAGTTTTCTACTTGTTGCCGATCAATTCATTTATCTGCGGATTTGGATTAACCCTAAAAGGCTAGTTACTGACGAAATCTCAGCTCGTATACAGAAATCCCGTTTGGTATTTGCCAACTTGAGTCATCTGTGGTATCGGAGAGAGGTACCTGGCAATTTATGAAAAGAAAAGTGTACTGCGCTGCTATACGACTGCCATATACGGCCGTTAAAAGTAGAAGATCTGAAGCGATTACACGGTTTCGATCATAAGTGTCTTCATAGCATTGCTTGCACTTGGTGGGATCACCGTGTGAACAATCTTAAGGTCAGTCAGACGAAGGGTACTAGGCAAGTCGATTGATGAGGTTGTGAACTATGATTGACTGAGATGGCTTAGATGTGTACTGCACCAGTTCCTGAGGTGTATAAATACGGTAGTAGAGTGTTTTTAGTCAACTGAAGTGTTAACTACTGCATGGGAGTCAAATATGGTCCCATTTGACTAGTCTCAATTACTGATTATCCCACCATTCAGGAAAAGCGAGAAGTCCTGTAGCGATAACTACAGAGGAATCAGCCTGATGAACATAGTGTCTACGATCCTAGGTTCTATAATCACTAGACGCCTGAGTGGAGCTCGGGAACGGCAAACCTGAGAAAACCGGCCAGGCTTCAAACCTAGTTGTGCATGTATCGACCAAATATTCATTGTCCTCCAGGTTCTGAAACACACGTACGCTTACTGACTCGGGACAATAGATGTGTTTCTCAACAAAAAACTTTTATGGCAATGTCTCACTCAAGGGCATACCAAGTAAATACATCACCCTATTGAAGGATGTTTATCCGAATCCCCTTGGGCGTGTTAGACTCTTTGGTGAGATGTAGTGTGAGCTGTGTACGTCGAATGGTGTCCGTCAACGATGTCCACTATCTTCATTCTTATTCAATTTTATCATAGCGATCCTATTGAGGTCTTCCTGTCGTCAGCTGACTACAAAGGCATTAATCTAATCACAGGAGAATTTTTGATGGACCTAGACTACGCAGATGACATAGTCCTGTTAGATGAAGACGTTGACAAGATGTAATGTTTGCTGGACACTGAGTGAGAAATTGAGGATGTTTGGAATGGATTTCTTACCACCCAAATGCAATTTGTTGCTCCAGGATTGGTCTTCAACGGTACGCCTACTAACAGTAGAGAGTGTAATGGTTGGGCGCATTGAACGCTTCACTTACATAGGAATTCGAATCAGTCCTGGTGCGTTGGTCAGTGGCCGACGAAATCTCTGCACGGATACAAAAGGCTCGGTGGGCGTTTGCCAGCTTACTCCATCTATATCGCTGCTGCGTTATCCTATTGTCTATTAAGAGTCCAGTGTACTGTGTTGCAGTCCTCTCTGTTGTACTCTATGGCTGTGAAACATGGCCATTAAAGGTAGAGGACATGAGAAGGTTTCTGGTGTTTGACTGTCACTAAATTCGTAGCATAGGTTGTGTTATGGTATAACCACGTGAGTAACGTAGAAGTAAGACATAGAGTTGTAGAGTGGAGAGGTTAGTCAGCTGATGCTGTTGTGAACCTTCATCGACTGAGATGGCTGGTTGGGACATGTGTTACGTATGCCTAGCTACCCTCTTTCTCATCGCACAATGTTGATCGAAGTATATTCAGTCTGGGAAAAGACTCGGGGAGGTCAGACTGGAACGTGGCGTCAGTGCATGAAGTCGTTGTCTGTTGGTTCGAGCTATGTAGGGCAAAGCAGACTTGCCGGTTGCGGGATGAGAGAAACCAGTGGATGGAGACCTTATATAATATGGTGTAAATGTATATACACATATTATCCTCATCTTAACCACTATTCTTAATCTCATTCTTCCTCCCTCTGTTTTACTGCTGTCTTCTTCTACTCCCTTTGACCGGATCTTTCTTTTCTTCCTCATCTTCCATTTCATTGCTTGATATGGGGTATGGCTACTTGAACCGTTGTACAGTAATGTCTAGTCCTATGTTGATGATGATGACATTGTTAGTGTCTCCTCACCTACTGAATATTGTTAATTGATAGGCTAATGCAATTCTTTTTATCTGATGGTTAGGTCTTCAACACTATGTGTATACCTGAATGGAACATTGAGATCGGTCCGCTCCCCAACACTAGGAGAAGTCAAGAAAGCGGTAGATAACCTGAAACGAGGAAGGTAAGCAGGACCAGATGGACTAACTCCAGAGGTATACAAGGATGGTGGTAAGGTGCTCTTAGTCAGGTTAACGGAAGTTTTAGCTAGTATACGGAAATCAAATACGATCCCGTCTAACTGGTCCAACTCACTGATAATCCCGGTCTTTAAGGAAGGTGAGAAGTCCTCTTGTGATAACCACAGAGGAATCAGTCTGACGAACATAGTATCCAAAATCCAAATTCTCCGACGCCTGAGTGGACCTCAGAAACAACAAGCCTGAGAAAACCAGACAGGCTTTAGACCTGGCCGTGAGTGTATCGACTAGATATTCACACGGCTCCAGGTCCTGGAACATAGGCACCCTTACCGACGCCCGACAATAGCTGTATTTGTCAACCTGAAGTCGACAATCGACTCCGTTGATCAAGAAGTCTTATGGCAATGTCTCTCACTGAAAGGCATCCCGAGTAACTACATCACCTTATTATTCAAGGCTCTCTACTCGAACACTTGTGGGTGTGTTACAGCCTATGGTGAGTTGTCCAGGGAACTATGCCCATCCAGTGGTGTCTGTCAAGGGTGCCCACTCTCCCCACTCTCATTCAATTTTATCATAGATATTCTTATGGAGGTCTCCCTCTCGTCACCTAACTACTACTACTACTACTACTACACAGAGGTTGACCTAATCACAGGAGAATTTTCGTTACACGTAGACTATGCAGATGACATAGTCCTGTTAGTCCTGTGAAGATGCTGACAAGATGCAGAGTCTTGTGAACACTTTGAGTGTGAATTTGAGAATGTTTGTGATGCGGTTCTGACCACCGAAATGCAAATTGTTGCTCCAGGATTGATGTTTAGAGGTAGGTGCATTGGCTAATAATAGAGTGTAGTGGTTGAGTGTGTTGACGACTTCACTTACCTGGTAAGTGAAGTAGGATGAGAGTTGGTGTGTTGGTCAGTGGCCGGTGAAATGTCTGCACGAATAGAAAAGGCTCGATTGGCTTTCGTCAATTTACGCCACCTATGGCGCTGGTGTGACATCCGATTGTCTATTAACAGTCAAGTGTACTGCACAGCAGTCCACTCTCTTCTACTCCATGGCTGTGAAACATGACCATTGAAGGTGGAAGACATGAGAAGGTTGGCTTCAAGTGTTCGACTACCGTTACTTTGTAGTATAGGCCGTATTCCATGGTGTCACCCTATGAGTAATGCAGAAGTTAGGTATAGAATTTTAGGGAGAAGAGGTCGGTCGGTTGACAAGGTTATAAACCTTGATTGACTGAGATGGTTGAGACACGTACTACGTGTCACCGACTGCCTGGTCACACAATGTTGACCGAAGTAGGTTCAGGTTGGAAAAAGGTCTAAGGTGACCAGACTAAAACATGCCATCATTGCATGAAGTCTCTGACTATTGGTTTGAGCTACGTAGAGGGACGATGCAAACTAGCCGGTTGGGGTCTAGAGGACAAGAGGAATTAGTGGTTGGAGACTCTAAGTGATCACATGGCTGAGAAGCGATATCAGTGGTGCAGATGTATCCTCACACAGATTGTCCTCATGCTAACGATGCTGTACCGAATCTCACCACTTTCTGATTCTTCCTTTGTCTCTTTTCGCACTTTATATTTCTTTTGACTGAATTTTCTTATCTTCGTCTTCCACCTAACTGCCTTTTTACTTGATGTACTAGGGATATGAGGTGTGGCGGGAACTCGGACCGTTACGCAGTAATGCCCAGTCCTAGATTAATGTGGATGGATGTTTAATTCACTCCAAGTTAATCTCCATGCCAGGTCCTACTCTGCTTCCTGTATAAAAATATAGTCTCAAATACATCTATACTATTGACTATGAGTATCCAGTTTCTACCTTTTTCTGCATTAATGTAATGCATGAAAACAACAACAATAATCACCTACTCTCCTGTTTCTCTTCTGTTACAGTTCACACTTCGCTTACAATTTACTGAACGTATGGAGATTACACAACAATTATCTGCTTACATACATCGTCTTATTGATTCATTGCATTTGCCAACATTTTCAACAGATCGTAAATCTCATCTTATCTATCATGGAAAAGCGACAACATCATCATCATCATCAGCATGTCTTGTCTCTGCATCAGGTTCATCTAATACTAGTTCAGTGCTAATCCATCTTGGTGTTTAATACATACATCATTATTTTATATGCATTTATTCCTTTTATTCGGTTGTTTCGGTTGGTTAATACCTTTAATGCCAAATACTGGAGAGTATGTTGCTTGTCGAGAAGATGGTAGTCTACGTGTTGGGGAACCACAAATAAGGTAAGTTTTTATTATCCTTTTTTTATCAATCTTTACAACATGTTTATAGTAAAAGAAAAAATTAACACTCAACAGTCACATTCACGTGTGTACAGTAATCAATGAGCTGGATACATTCTGTGAGAGTTGTCGAGATGTAAGTAGTAGATGGAGGAAGGTTTCCATTGGTTGGAAATCGAGTGCCTATACCAACAAGGCATAACTTTTTTAAATGCTAAAAAGTTGATTGTTTCCATCTGATTCAATATTACATGCTACTACGAATTCATACAGTAAGCATAATCCAACTATCCTATACTGTCTGACTTTCAATAATTACTTGATAACTAATAATTTGTAATAAAAGCTCTGCTTCTAATATTGTTTTAGATTCTATGCTTAGCTGGACTAAATATTTTCGCATAAGACACATATTTTCACAGGTTTCATTCAGCGAAATTAGAAATGAATAGTAACATAAGCAAACGATACCAGCTGACTGAGACACTTGAACTGCATACATGCATACTGGATGAACATATAAAACCACGAGGTCAAAAGTCAAATAGTTTATTCTGATTGGCCAACTGTAGAAGAAAATTTACCAGTCACGTTTTTCTTGACCATACAGTGATATGAAACCGAAATTGAAACTTGAAATATTGATTTCCTGCTCGCCTCACCCTATTTAGGTTGCTTCGTATCAAGAACATTTCCGGTTAAGGTAGTTTGACATACAAACTGGGTTTATGTACATGAATTTATTGATTGATGTAAACCGGTTTCGATCTCTCTTTGGTAGGTTACTTCTTTAGGAACACATTGTGTATTTTTAATCATCGATTAAAAGTTGTCATGTATTTGAATCTATCCCTTCATCATTATTTCCGAAAAATCACCACTTGATTACTATTATTATTATATATTATTTAACCCTTGGGTTCCTAATGGGACATAGGGCTTCAGTACCACGTCTTCAACGCACTCTGTTCCCTGCAAACTTTTGAACCTGGCTCCACAACAGCCCACAAGCTCTCGTTTCTTCCTCACACCATCTCCTCCATGTCACCCTCGCCTCGGACTTCTAACTCATCGCTTCCCATGCGGGTTCCACTCGAGCAACTGACTTGGCGCGTGATGTCCCCGAATGGTCCAGTGCATATTTGTTGAGTGATAGGTTCTTACTTCGTTGGTTCGTTGCCAGCCAACCAGCCAGAGTTCCTTGTTGCTTATTCTTGTTATTCTGGCCATCTGATCTTCAGTGAGGAGCCAGCATAGGCAGTTGTTGATGAATGTCTGTAGTTTGTTGGAAATGCCTTTCGTAACGCTCCAAGTCTCGGAACCATCACACGGAAGCACTGACTTACTTGACTGAATCGGTGTTGAAAATGCGGATGTTGTTTACGTTTTATGCTGAGTGGAGTGCAGAAGATCTGCACACTGGTTTCAGGTTAATGCACCAAGGCCTGTCTTGCTTTTCTGATGCTGGCTGGTTTTGACGTCCTTGTGTGTGCCTGTGCTGCCTGTAGTTGAAACGATGCTGCCTAGTTAGGTGGGTGAAATAGGCTACTTCCTTTAAGTTTCTCCTGTTAATGGTGATTGGAGCTTGTTGTTGTTGTTGATGGTTGGGTATCTTCATCACTTCTGTCTCCTCTACGTTCACACTTGATTAGTAATTTGATTAAATTGTAAAAATATGCATATTAATGTAGAGCCCAAGTTGAAGACCTAGTTGAAAAGCAATAGATTTCTTCGCCCGCTTAATCAGTCTTTTTTTTTTACTAGAAAAAACTCCTATACTGAAATATATTACTGAAAAACATCAGTAGTAAGCTAGAAACTATTCTCAATCTCTTTTGATTTCACTCTGCAGATTAGCTTGATTACTTTTTGACTATGCTGTCCAATAGTAGATTTCGTTAGTTGATCACACTTTTATGTCAAAGATTTCTATCTTATGATCTTGTAGTTGAGTGCTGATTTCCAACGCAAATCCTCTTGATAATTACAGTTAGGCTAGGCAGTTGAAAAACTATCCAGCTGTGTGATCAATTTCAACGTGAATTGTCCAATGTATAACAAAATCACACTCCGCACTGAAGGGCAAGTACATTGAAGGACAGACGTCGGTGGTTTGGATACTGCCCACCGTCTACAGGAAACCAACATTATCTAACAGGTATCTCTAGACCTCAAGTCATCCCATCCAATGTCAGTCAGTGAAGGCAGGCTTAGTTAAATGTCTAAGTCTTAGAGCTAGAAAACTGACTAATCAGTGCAAGGATCTACACAAGTAACTGAAACACATAAAAGAAGCACTACTAGGTGATAATTATCCTCTACAGTTTATCAACGAATTCGTACGAACACACAAGAAACGAAGTAATAACAGTCACACGATTATGAGTAATATCGGTAAGACGAGTTGAAAGGAGTTCACAGTCTCCATTGTGTTACTCTATAAGAGCGTTACATCAGAAACTTCATATAGGATTCTCAACAAAGCTGGAATCAGTTATGGTAACATTTAAACCTACAAACTGACTCAAAGATAAGCTTTTTCGGCTGGCTTATGTATCAGATAGAACCAATTAAGCAAAATAATCTAATCTATGAAATTTCATGTAATGACTGTGAGTCAGATCAAGTACATAGGTCAAACTAGCTAGGTGGGATAGAACCAATGTACTTAACTCCAACATGATTAGGTAGAGAGAGAGAGAGAGAGATCGATTAGTGAATCTCTGTTCATCGAATCAACCAACACCCTACTGATGTAATAGGAATGATGATGCAACATTTATGCCAGAGATATGGAGAATGTTTACTACCAATGATGACAGGACTATAAAAATCAGATATTGTAAGTTGTATGTGATCAGTGTGATATGAGTTTCACTTCCTTGTTTACCTCGTTCGACTGACTGGTGAGTTTTCCAGCTCTATTGTATTTAGACATTTGACTAAACCTGCCTTCACTGACTGACATTGGATGGGATGACTTGAGGTCTAGATACCTGTTAGATTATGTTGGTTTCCTGTAGACGGTGAACAGTATCCAAACCACCGACGTCTTGTCCTCCGTTTCACTGTGGAATCTAACATAGGTAATTCTCCTTATTCGTTGTCTACCTACTCATAAGTGAATTGGTGAGCTAGATGAGAGGAACATAGGAATAAGATGAATAATATAGAAAGTAACTGGGCTATTGCAATGGAATCACACACACCATAGGTTGGGTAGGATAAGAACACTGTACTTAAGTCCAATATAGTTAGGTGAAGAGAGAGAGATTGACTACTGAATGTTTATTTATCGAATCAGCTAACACCGAGAACATCTAATAGGAATGATGATGCAACATTTATGCCAGAGATATTGAGAATGTTTACTACCAATGAAGCCAATGAATATTAGGTGGGTGACAGGACTATAAAAATCAAATGTCGACAGTGGTGTGTGATTACATTGAGATATTGTTATGAGTAATAATTGATGCTCGATGCGTCGTCATCAAGTAAACAATACTAGATCACTTATTATTATTATTATTTTATTATTAGTCCCTTGGGTTCCTAGTGGAACATAGGGCTTCAGTAGCTCGCCTCCATTTCATCCTGTTCTCTGAGATCTTTTGAACCTGGTCCCACGACAGCCCAGAAGCTCTCATTTCCTCCTCGCACGACCTCCTCCATGTCACCATCGCCACCGACGCCCAACTCGTCGCTTCCCCTGGGGATTCCACTCGAGCAACTGGCCTGACGCGTGATGTCCTCAGTCGGCCTTCTCAGTGCATGCCCAATACATCTCCACTTCCTCCTGCATATTTGTTGCGTGATAGGTTCTTGGTTGGTTCGTTCCCAGAGTTCCTTGTTGCTTATTCTTGTTATTCTGGCCATCTGATCTTCAGTAGCGAGCCAGCGTAAGCAGTTGTTGATGAATGTCTGTAGTTTATTGGAAATGCCTTTCGTGACGCGCCAAGTCTCTGAACCATACAGAAGCACTGACTTGACGTTGGTGTTGAAAATCCGTATCTTGTTCCGCATGAAGAGTGCAGAAGATCTCCACACTGGAGATCACTTATTGTGTGCTATATAATCAGATAAACAAATCGAGTATGGAATTAAATTGCACCACAGCGCCCGGCTTTTTACAATCATATGAATTCCTTAATTGACATTCGATGAAATGATGATAAGTCTAGATATCTATTAGAATGTGTCAGGTTGCTGTAGACGGTTGTATCTAAGGTACCTGACTATCCTGACGATAGCAGATGAAGCATGAACTGAACTTGAGACCAGCTGTGACCAACACTGTACCGTATATATCAAATAAACAAATCTAATATGGAATGTTCACGTATTCTTAGCACTACCGAACGTTATTTATCCGTCAATGTGTTAGAAAATGTAAACATAGACGACATAAATGGTTGAAGGTAGCGGAAAATGAATCCACAAAGATGTCGGTATGATATCCGATTGCCTATTAAAGGACGAGTGTACCGCACTTCAATTCTCTTTATTCGACCGTTTAGCTGTGAAAAATGGCAATTAAAGATGTAGAGTACATAAGGGAGACGATTTTTATCTGTTGGACTACTGTCGCCTTCACAGTATAAAGGGTTAAACGTAACTCCCTGTGTTTATAAGATATTTGATGTTGATGTTTAGAATGGAAAAGATGAAAAATAATTTTAATAATGATATTTTGATCAATCAATTTTTGTTTTTATGCCACACAAAAAATTGGATTCACTGAATAATGATTAACTGTTTTGTTCGACTTTTGGAATCGTCAGCAGTTTACACCGATAACTCGTTGATGTGCGATTCTATAGGAAGCTGGATTAGATTAGAAGAGGGTTTAGGATGGCCAGACCAAGATGTGGTACTAGTCAATGAAGTCATCTACTGTTGGTCTAAGCCATCTAGGGGAGGTAGGGGTCACCAAAACCATAGAAATCAATGGTTGAGGATTCGTGTGGAGATGACTAAAAATCCTTCACGTTGACACAGATGTATTCACTCATCAACATCTTCACACTAACCTCAGATTGTTTATTCCCTCACACTATTTTATCTACTTTGATATGAGTCTTTTTACATCCACTTGTTGTTTGTGTACTACCTTGGTATGAAGTGTGGCAACTTGGGAGTGATACACTAGTGTGCAAGGTTCCATGTTGATTTTATTACTCAGTCCATTCACATCATCATCAAGTTATCAATAGTCAGTCAGTTGAAATTAATCTTTGCTGAAGCGTTCAATTCTTGATAAACCAATCAGTTAAATGATGATAATAACATCAACTTGACTATCTGGTATATCTGTGGTTCCAACAGATTTGTATTATTGGTTGATTGAAGGTGAAATAAAAATTTGGTTAGCAGCTGGATGTTAGTTAATAGAACACTGGGCCAGTCCCCGACAGTCTCTGATTCGAGTCCTGTGGCCGTGGCCGCTTAGATTTTCACCTCACCCCTCATTATATATCAGCCAGTATCGATAGTAATATCATTGTATTTTATTGCTATGAATGTAGTCCGTGTTATCTTCCTTATTATTTATGCTTATATTCTTCTTAATGTTTACAACTCTAGTTCTGGAAAATCACTTCTATGCATCATAAACTTCATTCTATTGTATTTCTCATCTATGGTTGCTGCTATCTGGTCAAATATATTTGACTATGCTTTATTGTATCAAATGAAAAAAATTACTTATAGTCTAGACAATCGATTTCATCATCCTTATACTACCGATCATCATCATCATCATCATCGTCGTCGTCGTCGTCCACATCGTCAAGATCATCATCGTCAAATAGATATGGAAATGAAGCATTTTCAATCATGTTTAACAAAATTTAGTGAAACTTTATCAAAAAAGTATAATAAACCAATATCATCATTACCACGACGACGACGACGACGCCGACGGCGACATCAACAACAACGACGTCGACCACCACCACCACAACAACAACAAGACTATTCTTTACATAAGCGTATTTCTGATGAACCATTATCAGAGTTGACTAATTCAGTCAATTTAACCAATGAAAAATCTTCTGAATTCGAATTAGTGAATGAAGATCAAACCATCATTTATACTCCTGTTAACAATGAGAATAATGAGACAATTACTGAGTTACTAAATACACCGATTACAAAAGATAATGATATAACACATAATAAAATGTATAAATTGAAAAGGCTTCATTCATCTTGTTCTTTATCATTGTCATCTCCATCTAGATCATCTGAATCACCTTCATCATTGACTACTTCTTCATCTTCATCTTCATCATCGTCATCATCATCATTATTATTATCTAATCAAAATAATATAAATAATGAAAAAATAGAAGAACATTTATTATGCTTATCATCACATAGTCATACATCTTCTATTCAAAAATCACATAGAAATAAATTGAGAAGAGAAAAAATGAAAAATTGATAGACAATAATGAATCGATTAATGATGATACAAGCAACATTCGAAGTAAGTCTTAGTGTATATGGTTAGATATATGATTTTTATTTTACAAGCTCTTATGAAATGATTGAACATTGTTTGAACACTTCATTTACCTAGTGCATTGATCAATAGTCGATAAAATTTTTGCATAGTTTGCTCTGTTCTATTCTATACCTGTGAAATATGGCCATTAAAAGTAGGAGATATGAGAGAAGGCTTCACGGTGTTTGACCACCGTTGTCTACGTAGCATATGCCATGGCATGTCATGGTATCACCATGTGAGTAATGCACAAGTCAGATATAGAAATTTAGGGAGACGAGGTAAGGCAGTTGATGCGGTTGTGAACCTTCATCGACTCAGATGACTAGCTAATCACCGCCTTCCTCGTCGTATCGTCTTGGTTCAGTCCGGTAAAAGGCTCTAGATGACCAGATTAAAACATGGCATCACTGCGTGAAGTACTTGACTGTTAGTTTAAGCCATGCAAGGCGATGCAGACTAACCGGTTAAGGTCGGTGGGACAAGAGAAATCAGTGGTTGGAGACCTTATTGTGATATGACGTAGATGTATACACACAGTATCCCCATCTTAATCGCTATACTTAATCTCATCATTTTCACATTTTCTTTCCCTCTTCATCTTCCACTTTCTTGTCTTGTTACCTGATTTGTTGATATGAGGTATGAAGGCAACCTGGACCGTTGTGCAGCAATGCCTGGTCCTATGTTGTTATTGATGGTGATGACAATGATATGCTCGTTAAACTGTCTGACGATCTATACACTGTCTTTAGCCTATCGACTTTATTATTATCTGTCCTTTAGGTTCCTAGTGCAATATACAGCTTCAATACAGTCTTCTCAACCTGACTCCACCAATACCCACAACCTTTCATTTCTTCCTCACACAATCTCCTCCAAGTCACCCTCACCTCCGACGCCCAACTCGTCGTTCACCATTTGAGTTCCACTCGACAACCTCACCTGGTCTCACGCATGATCTCCACAAACCGTCTTCTCAGTCCACGTACAATCAAATCCATCTCCATTTTATTCCAGTGCATATTTGTTGGGTGATAGTTTTGTCTTAGGTTGCTTGGTTTGTTGCCAACCAGTCAGAGTTCCTCCTTGCTTTTCCCTTCTGGCCATCTCACCTAATCTTCATTCAGTATGGAGTGAGCTTAGGTGGCAGCTGTTGATCGATGTCTGTAGTTTGTTTGAAATGCTTTTCGTAACGTGGCAAGTCTGTCAACCATCACATAGAAACACTGACATACTTGATTGACTTAGTGTTGGAAATCGGGATGTTGTTGACGCTTTATGCTGAATGTATTGCATTGCAGCATATCTCCACACTGATCTCAGGTAAATGAAGTCTGTTTTATTATCTTTTCAATGGTGGCTTTGACGTGCTCATGTGTGCCTGTGCCTGTGCTGTCTCTAGTTGAAATGATGCTGCCTAGGTAGGTCGCCTATCGATTACGAGTATTTACATAAGCGATAACGTGTACTTGACCCTGATCGACTACTTTGACTTTATGTATCTGACCTAAATAGTTGCCAGGGATTTGGTAAATTATTAGAACCGAATAATCTAACTCAGCAGAATGGTTCATTTCTGCATTTATCATGGAATGACATCGGTTAGAGAAATGTCGATAATCTGAGAGCACTGGATAACTGTTTTGTCCTTACGTGGGACTCCTCAGCAGTGCATGAGTTCGCCTCCCCAGAGATCGAACCCACGACCCTGTAGGCATCATGTTGTCATTGACTCACTAGTCCACATTTCTTATTTTTGTCAGTTCATGATGTATATCATGACCTCTATCCAATGCCGTCATCGCATAACTGTCGTCACGTTCAATATGGTTGACTCCATTGGTCATGACTCTTCTCATTTCAATTTTAGGAATTACATCTTGAAGCAAGTGTAACTACTAACTCACTGGTTCAATAATAATATGCTGGCTACGAGACTTGAAGGCTATGGGTTCGAACCCCGGTGTGATGAGTGCGTATCACTGAGTAGTCCCATATTAGGACGAAACAGTTGTCCAATGCTCTGAGATATACGACTTGAAATCAATCAATCAATCACCAGAATTCTTCAAATGGAATATATTTTTATGTTGTTACTTGTATGTGCCATAAATTTGTCAGTCTCTATTGGGATTATAAACTATTTATTGTGTAGATGTTTTAACGTGTTACTAGCGTTTTCAATTTGGTATATTCTTTCTTTTTCTTTTTTTTTTCAGAAGTACATTCTACACCTAGTAAAACTCATAGTGGTATAGTATGCTTAGAATCAGTTATTCAACAGTCTCCAATAATGCAGAATATATCCTTGAATCTAAAGTCTGGTAATAGTCATAATGAACAACGACACGTCGACACCATCATCATCATCATCATCATAATCATCAAGTTGGTCATGACTATCGACTGTATAAATGTGGTTCATTCACTGGTATTCCTTTGAATTCACTAGTTGACCTTCTACTCTATGATTGTTTAGATCCTTGTGTTTATTCTTCATCATGTTTTCCTATCACTAAACCATTAATCTCACAAATACTATGGATCCAGTTATTTACAAGTGATAAATACTTATTTATTCATAATTTCGATACAATTGACAATAGTATCGGTGATCTTAGCACTGGTAAACATTCTACCCAACATAATGATCATCATCATCATCATTGTACAAATACAGTAGGCAATATCCCAATAAAAAAATCAACAACTTATTCACATATCAGATCACTTATGCTTAAACAAGGCGTCATCATTTCATCACCATTAAATCAGTCAATAAATACTCAATCACAAACAACTTGTTTACATCTTCTAGCATTAGCTATTCCTTTAGTGTTTACTTTGATCAGTTTAACAGCAGCAGAAGTGAGTTGTTGTTTTGTTTTTTTCCTTCTGCTGATTTCTATTTCGGTTATTTTGTTTACTTTTTGATAGAGCTGTAGTATATTTCATAAACTAGTCGGTCACGGGTTCGAGTCCAGTTTAGGCAACTAGATAGTATGTATAATTAGATTTTATACAAAAAGTGTGTTTCATTTTGGCTACTGCGTGTATGTGTAGAAGGTGACTGGAGAAAATTTCGATTTCTTTCGTTTGTTTGTGTTGTGTCATTAGAATGTAAACTGCAAACAAGCTCATTTGCAATGATTAACGAATCATATGCAGGTGAAAACCAACAACTTGGCACAGGAGGTGGGGAAATGAAGACGGGAGTATCTTCAGGCGAATGTATTGAAGATACAGGTGATGAAGATACACAACCACCGCCGCTAACAACAAGCACCATCAACGGGAAAAATGTAAACGGAGTTGTCCTTTCATCTACCTACCTACCTAGACAGCATCATTTCAACTAGAGACAGCACAGGCACACATGAGGACGTCAAAGCCACCATTGAAAAGATAATAAAACAGGCCTTCATTTACCTGAGATCAGTGTGGAGATATGCTGCAATGCAATACATTCAGCATAAAGCGTCAACAACATCCCGATTTCCAACACTAAATCAATCAAGTATATCAGTGTTTCTATGTGATGGTTGACAGACTTGCCATGTTACGAAAAGCATTTCAAACAATCTACAGACATTGATCAACAGCTGCCACCTAAGCTCACTCCATACTGAATGAAGATTAGGTGAGATGGTCAGAAGGGAAAAGCAAGGAGGAACTCTGACTGGTTGGCAACAAACCAAGCAACCTAAGACAAAACTATCACCCAACAAATATGCACTGGAATAAATGGAGATGGATTTGATTGTACGTGGACTGAGAAGTTGGTTTGGGGAGATCATGCGTGAGGCCAGGTGAGGTTGTCGAGTGAATTCAAATGGTGAACGACGAGTTGGGCGTCGGAGGTGAGGGTGACTTGGAGGAGATTGTGTGAGGAAGAAATGAAAGGTTGTGGGTATTGGTGGAGTCAGGTTGAGAAGACTGTAGAGAAGAGAGTGAAGTACTGATGTGCTAGTGAAGCCGTATGTTCCACTAGCAACCCAAGGGACAAATAATGGTAATCGATAGCGAATCATATGAAGGGCATAACAACTAATTACATTGCATAATTGGAAACTGTCCGATAACTGAAGGATAACGTGTTCATTGCACCATTCAATAGTGATTGGTTCGAGTCCTCGTGTGGTTCAGACTACTGAGTAGTCCGAAACTGCTATGAAACAGCTATCCAGCAGTAATACGTTTTACAGGATGATAGTTCTGCCGAAGATATCCATCATGATATGAATAGTGAGGAAAAAAAGCATTCCAACAAAATGTCTTCATACAGTGACTTCTTCCATGAAGGTTGTACAGTGGCTGTTTTAAACATTTTTCTTGTGTTACTGCTTGACAGTTAACAGTAGGTCGTCAAACTTGCCATCAGAAAAGCAGCCTTAATGCATGAACTGTGATTAAAATCAAAAAATGTAATGAACGGTAAAGATCAGTGAAAATATGATTAGAATTGCATAAAAAGTACTAAGTATTGGAGAAGAAGTTGCACAACATAACGCAATAGTTGGTAAGTGGAATGTGATCGATAGCGGCTACCTTGACGTGGTGGTCGGGCTTCCATATCACAATTACCCAATGAGCTATGCTGGTGGAGCACTTGTTCCCTCGAGGTCCTAACATACAAGAAAGGTCTTGTGGATAGTAGTTAGACGAAAAGCAGTTACTGTTGTGGTGTAAATTACTACACTATGATGGGAGTCTGAGGGCGAAGTGATACTGCTGTTAGCTGGATGGGGTGTGACAGTAGTAAGGTGTTTCCCTTGGATGACCAGCAGTGCCATGCTGATGCTGCCTTCTCAGTGGAAGGGAGGAGGGGGGGGGTTAGTAGAGGTTGGCCCCAAAAATAAGACACTCTGCCAAGTTCGACGGTCTGCCGGGCCGACGGTGTTGGTTCATTCACTGTTTCTTTTCAAACATCTGGCCCCAAAACAACAAACGATCAAAATAATCATACTCAAAAGGCTTCGTGTGACAGACCTCAAGCAGATGTCCGAAGGGGTCTGTGGTCAGACAGATCTCTTTTAGGTACCTTAAGAATAAATAGCCTTCCATGGTGTGGGCAGCCGGGAAGTGTCAATCGCCTTCATAACTCTGTCAGAACTCAAGTTTCCGTGGTTTGAGTATTTTGGAACAGAAATCGAGCATTTCTATGCAGTATGACAACGGGAAATTATAACATGTATCAATAAATAATAATAATAACTGATACCCATTGGAGGATAGGTGGCTATCTTGTCTCGTTGGTCTAATGGTTACTGAGTTGGAGTCTTAGTGGAAATACCATCATTTACTGGAGTGCATGCAAATTCGGCTGATGAATCCTAAATCGGATGAAACACGCATCATGTTACAAGTTGTAGTAGATAATTGTAGAAGAGATGTAATCATGTATGTTGAATGCAATTTCATCACTTCATTCACACATTTTTTTTCTCTGACAGTACCTTCAAAATTGTTAACTCAGTATTCCTACAACATTTTTAGGTGACGAGTAAAGGAGAATCATGATGGTGATGAAATTCTCTGTTTCCTCTTTTTATTTGCTCATACTTTCCGCCAATCATACGCTTATGATCATTGTCTGAGGGAACTTGACTGATGACCGAGATGTTAAGGCGGTTGACATTTTCTAGCTGCCCACACTGCGGAAGGCTATTTCTTCTTGAGGTAACTGAAAAAGAAGGCATAGTACATGACCGAAGAGCTGCAGTGACATTTGCTTGAGGCAGCCGGTCACATATGACCTTTTCAGAAGTTTGAAACTTCGGTTTGTCAGTGCTGAATCTCACTATGAACCCAGGTCGACAGCTCTGGTATACCACTGTGTAGAGGGTAAGGTACTAATTTTAGAGTAGTATCAGCGTGTCACTGTTGGTCATCCAATGGAAATGGCTTAGTGCTGTCACACCACCAGCCAGCTGGCAATACCACTTCACCCTCGGACCCCTATTATAGTGCAGCAATTCACAGTACAACGGTAAAGGCTTTTTGTCTTACCATTATCCAACACACCTTTCTGATTTGGTAGGACCTCGAGGGAATAAACATTTCAGCAGTATAGATCGTTGGCTCATAGTGTTTGCAAGTCCGACCATCACGTCAAGGTAGTAGCTATTAGTCGAGTACTCTAATAGTAAAAGGAATCACTCAATAGATACTTTGTTTATGCTAAATGGGTTGCACCGTTATGTTGTAATCTGTCTGGTGGTTAGCGGTGATACCCAGGACGGTGTTTCGTTCCATCTGGGACTCATTAGCTGGAAGAACCTGCGCTTCAGTGAGTGGTGCTATTCTCACTACGACTCGAACCTATCGCTTCAGTTGCTGAGGCGGTTATACACTGGGGCAAGGGAACCACCATTTCACCTATGAAGTGTAATTATTGTATGATTGCTCAAAACTCGATAATCTGTGCAAAATTTTAAGGCTTAAAACCCAATTTTTGAAGATGGAGTGATTTAACCTACTATTCAACCCGCGCACTCCCTTCGAATATCGTTGGGAGTACCAATTATACGTACTTATCTGTATCGTTGAAATAAGTTCTAATTGATGCCTTAATTATTACTGTTTATTGATACATTTGTAGTTCTCCCTTGTTTTTATGGATCAAATTGTTGTACAAGAAGTGGTTATCGTTTCTCAATGGTATAGTGCATTTGAAGCGATGGGTATGAGGTTTGAATCTCAGTGGGAACAATATCACTCACTGGGGTGTGTGGGTGCATCCAGCTGGTGAGTCCCGGAGAGGACGAAACGCGCATTCTGGATTCCTCTGCCAGTTACAACCAACCAATCAGATTACCACAAAGTTTTAGTTTATTATATTATTATTATTTTTGCCTTGGGTTCCTAGTGGAACATAGGGCTTCAGTAGCACGTCGCCATTGCACTCTGTTCTCTGCAGTCTTTTGGACCTGGCATCACGACCACCCACAAGCTTTCATTTCTTCCTAATATTATCTTCTCTATGTTACCCTTGATGAAGATACCGCACCACCACCAGCAACCAACTCCAATCACCATCAATGGGAGAAACTTAAAGGAAGTAACCTCCTTCACTTATCTAGGAAGCACTGTTTCAACTACAGGTGGCACAGACGAGGATGTCAAAGTCAGAATCGGAAAAGCAAGACAGGCGTTCATTATCTTGAAACCAGTGTGGAGATCTTCTGCACTCAGCATGCGGAACAAGATCCGGATTTTCAACACCAACGTCAAGTCAGTGCTTCTATCTGATGGTTGAGAGACTTGGCGCGTTACGAAAGGGATTTCCAATAAACTACAGACATTCATCAACAAATGCTTACGCTCGCTACTGAAGATCAGATGGCCAGAAAGAATAAACAACAAGGAGCTCTGGCTGAGCAACGAACCAATCAAGAAGCTATCGCTGAACAAATATGCAGGAGGAAGTGGAGATGGATTGGGCATGCACTGAGAAGGCGGACTGGGGACATCAGGCGTCAGGCCAGTTTCTCGAGTGGAATCCTCATGGGGAGCGGCGAGTTGGACGTCCGAGGGTGACATAGAGGAGATCGTGTGAGGAGGAGATGAGAGCTTGTGGGCAGTTGTGGAGCCAGGTTTAAAAGGCTGCAGAGAACAGAGTGGAATGGAGACGTGCTAGTGAATCCCTATGTTCCACTAGGAACCCAAGGGACTAATAATAATAATGATAATAGTAATGTTACCCTTGCCTCGGACGCCCAACTCGTCGTTTCACTTTTGGGTTCCAGTCGAGTTTTTACCTTCAGTTTCTGGGTGTTGAACTTGAACTGTGGTCTATCATCAACTTCTTTCAAGGCTTTCATCCCTATTTTGAAGGTTCCTTACACTAGATAATAGTCTAAACCTACATCTGCTTCTCTTCTTGATTTTGTGCCCAGTAGGCTACATCTTCACTTTCTTGAGATTGAGATGAAGTCGATCTGATTTTTAGTGTAGTGTGTCCATCTGCGGAAATCCATGTCGCTCGCTTTGTAAACACCCTTGCGTTTGTATATACTACCTCCAATCATCAAATCGTTGAATGCAGAGAAATCTGCAAACAGTTCTCCATTCTCATTCATTATTTCACTGAATGCTTCTCGACGCATAATGAATTCTTATCCAGTGTTGTCCACTCCGAGTTTGGCATTCATTAGAATTTTGATGTCGCCAACTAGGAGTCTTGTCCATTAATGATTACAGTTTTGCTGTAGGATTCTTCCTTCTTCTCTTGTTCGCCATTACTTGTAGGTGCATTGCATGATCGTGACTTTCCTTTCCTTTGAATTGAATCTTGCTGTCATGATGCTGATTCTACATGAGGAAACTGGTTCTTACTACATGAAAGCCTTCGATGCTCTTGAAGGGGACATCATGATAGCCACTCCAAAACTCAGTGTGCTCGTGGTTGTCGTTTGGGTGACCGAAGTAAATTATTGACTCCTCTCCAGTTGACAGTTTGGAGAATCCACTTTCATTCCATCTACTTTCTCAGATTCCTAGCACTTCAATGTGATACCTTCTCATCTCTTTGACAATCTGAGCAGCCTTGGTTGGTTCATACATGGTGCGGACATTCTATATCCCTATGTTTACTTCCGCTTTCATCGAGAGAAGAGGGGACATATCGGCCAATTGACTTGGTGTAGAAAGAAGTTTATTTTTATCTTTTACATTTTCTTTGTGCTTTGAAGTTTCTTTATCGATTGAATTAGTTTTCCGGGGTATGGTTGGTAGCCGTATGCCCAACCTGGGCTTAGGACTGGCTAGTAACTAGTGGAGTATTTAACCAGGCGAAATTACAAAATTTTAGTTATTTCTATGTAATCATCTCCGTGTACTTTCAATATCAAATTTTTATTTCTCTCTTTTTTTGTATTACAGATTGATGGGAATTCATTAACTGGTATCTGTACAGTTGGCCTAGTCAATATATGGGCACGTGTTGGCCTATTGTTTTTTCCGTTCACTTTATGCTTAATAATTAAATTCTTTTATTTTATACAAATAATACATCAATTTGTACGATTACGTCATAAATTTCTAGTATCATCATTTCGTGTAGATCATGAAATAGCTCAACGCTTAGTACGTCATGCTTTATTTTACGGTGAGTTTATATATAAATATATTGTATTGTATTTTGAAGGAGTTGTGGAGATTTGGAAATATATTTCAAGTTATTATTCATCGTAGACTGACTGACATCAGTTGGAGGAACAGTGGAAACCTATGAGCACTGGACAGCCAGGGATCGAACCCGCGACCTTCGGTTCCGCTGCCGGCGCGTTACCATTGAGCTAGCCACTGGGTCAGAATCCAGGCGTCCATCTTTTCAACTTCTGTTAGCTCACGATATAGCGCAACTGCCACCCAATGTCATCATTGAGTAACTGTCCTCATGACCATCAGGCTTTGACTCCACCGGTCACGACTTCTCATTCGAACTTCGCGAATACCTCTCGAAGCTAGTCACCAATGAGCACCAGTTCAATTGGATTTTTAGGGAGATTTGAAAATATTTCAAGTTATTATGCTCAATAGTAACCTGAAGGTCGATCCCTGGTGGTGCGGGGTCGTGGGTGCGCACTGCCAAGGAGTCCCACACTAGTTGGACGAAACAACTGTCCAGTGCCCCGAGGTTTCCTTTGTTCCTCCAACTGATGTCAGTCAGTCTACAATGAATAACAACTTGAAATATATTTGTGTAAAACACTTAGAAATATATATGGTAATGGAGAGAGGAGAGAGAGTTGGGGTTTAGTGATGATTCAGCTTGAAATGGAGATCTAAGCCACAGTCTCGGGATTTACGAATTCTGACTACTGAATTGTTAAACTCAATTGTCCTGACTAGAATTTAGTTTCGTTTCAATCAGCAAAAATTTTCATATGCCCGTCATATGAATGTTCATTACCATCACACTTTGATTGTTGTCATATGAAGAGTGCCAACTTGATTCTATACACTTGTGTCCCAGGTTCAATGATGGTTTTTTTGCCCGTCTCTTTCGTCTGTCACCGTTTTCACCTGGCAGGACAATATCGTGTGCTTGCACCAAGTCAACTAGATGACCTCCAGAGAGTAGGTCAATCAATCCTTGTGAGGTTAGACTTACTTAAGATTATGTTCATTAGTACATCTATGATGAAGTTAAATAGGAAAAGATGACAGTGGGCATTCGTGGCGGATACCACTAGTTGTCGTCAGTTCTTATGATAACTCTCCATAAACTCTGACATGACTGCGTGAATTCAAGTACATAGCTACAACACCTCACAGTTGTCTGAGTTAAACACCGCCGCCTTCAAGTCAACGAATATGGTAAGTGTCGATCACTAACCGGTAGGTATGCCTGCATTCCAAAACCTGTCGGCGGGTAAAAACATAATTGATTTGCCCTCGTTCATGTCTGAAATTTGACTGTTTTTCTCAACCTCCAGTTAGACGTTGGATAACTACACACTCTAGAATCAAACTAATTCCCTTATAGTTGTCACAGGAAAACTTCTCCCCCTTTTCATAGACTAAAATAATCAGTAAAGTAGTGATTCCCATACACTACCTAATACCTCTGTCACTCTAATCACCAATTTCTTACCTCCATCTTTGAAAACTTATGGTGACAAACTGTCAGGTCCTGCTGCTTTGCATCATTTCACGTTTCAAACAGCCTTTTCAACTTCAAGGAGAGTTTAGAGGGTCGATATATATGTCCCGTTTCATTTGTGTCATATAACTTACTAACTAAGAATCTTAAGTTGTGGTTAGCAGATCACAAATTGTGGTATGAATATTTTAGTTTCCAAGAGGAACTACAATGAAATCTCATAGTTTTAAGGCTTGCAAATATCTACTCACTTAGCTAACCACAATTCGGTTGATTTAAATAGGTCAACATAGGATCAGGTATTACTGCGTAACGGTCCAATTTGCCTCCACATCTCATATCACCACATCAAGCAAATAACGCAGTGAAGTGGAAGATGAAGAAAATAAAATTCAGTCAAGAGAAATATAAAGTAATAAAGGAGGGAAAGGAAGAACGAGAAAATGATGAGATTCGCCATACCGGTTAACATGAAGATGATGTGTGTGGGGATGAATCTGGGCCACTGACTTTGGTTCTGAGCCATATGATCACCTAGAGTCTCCAACCATTGATTCCTCTTGTCCTGCCAACCCCAACCGGCTAATCTGCATCGCCCATCTACATGTCTCAAACCAACAGTCAGAGAATTCATACACTGATGCCATGTTTTAGTGTGGCCACCTCGAACCTTTTCCCAGCTTCGATCTACTTCGGTCAACATTGTGTGACGAAGCAATCGGTGACTAGGCATGCGTAACACATGTCCAAGTCAGCCATCTCAGTCAATCAAGGTTCACAACCACATCAACTGACTAACCTCTCCACCCTACAACTCTAAACCTGAATTCCACGTTATCCACGTGGTGACACCACGGAATACGACTTATACTACGAAAGCAACGGTAGTCAAACACTCGAAGCCTTCTCATGTCTTCCATATTCAATGGCCATGTTTCACAGGCATAGGGTAAAAGAGAGTGGACTTCTGTGCAGTATACGCGACTCTTAATAGACAGTCGGATGTCCCGGTGGCACCGTAAGTGGGGTAAGTTGGCAAAAGCCAGCCAGCCAACCGAGCCTTATGTATTTGTGCAGAGATTTCATGGGCCACTGAGCCACCAGGGTAGGGCTCATCTTACTTCCCTATCAACTAATGAAGTGCTGGTGTGTTTCACATGAACGGTTTACAAGTTAATCATTATTGTCAGTTAGTAATTACATAATCTTAAAATGCACATGAATAATAACTAACCGAGATAAATTAAAGGCTTTTTTCACATAAAAAGTAAAGTTTATTATCAAAGTGATTTACAATGTATATTGAATATTTTAAGATCACTAATATGAATTCGTTACCTAAAAAAGAAGAATACAATGCACGCTAACCTTAAAATGTATAGTATACTGATTAGTGACATGTTTGGAGATGAATATTTCTATTGAGAAACCCGTGACCTGTAATGTCAGATCAACCAGTTGAAAATGAAGCAGATTCCAACTGATAGTTGCAGTTTAACACAAATTGATAGATATAGAAAACAGTAGACAATTAAACTTTAACCAAGTGGATAAATAGCCAATATGCTCGACTTAAGTTCGAACCCTAATGTGGTGGGATCGTAGTTGTGTACTACTGATGAGTCCCGTACTAGGACGAAACAGCTATCTAGTGCTCTCAGGTTATCATTCCTTCTCCAACGATGAGGAATATAACCTTGAAAAATGCAGTAGATTGAATATTCCTATTTAGACATTCTTTTTCAGTTAGGTCTTCATCTTCTGCACTACACTAATAGATATAGGGAGTTCCAATTCAATCAAAATACCAATCAAGTGTTGTAGAGCGGAAGGCGTTGGTCATCAATAAGTAAGTCATGAAGATGATAAGTTTTACAAATTAAGAGTAATTGAAATTGGTAATATGTGAAGTAGGTTATTCTTAGTTAAACGGAGTGATTCTTCATGAGTGTTCAGTTATAAACAATCAGTGATTACGTAGTAATAATAATTATAATATAAATGAATATTGATGGAAACAAGAGGGGAGGTGAGAAGAGGTGTACAAAGTTATCCTATAAGTTACATCATGTTCACGTCCATGGTAACGAAAGTGATCGAACAAACTTCTTTGGAATACAAAGATTAGGTTTGTTTGTCGAGGTGGATTGATTGTAATCGCCTGTGCTATGTTTGAAGTAAGCGAGTGGATAATCCAAGTATGTGGTAAATTATTTGGAATCTGATGAATAGTTTTAAATGTCATTCTAGTATCTACTTGATGTGCTATGTCAACTAGGTGTATAAGTATGGACTTGTTTATTGTTTTAATTTGTCGCTTACTCAACCATGATGGGTGGTGCTCAGAAATTCGTGACCTGTTTATTAGGAATGGCTATTCAGAAAAGTTTGTAACTAAGCCTATGAATATTACGAGGGTTAAGATAAGAACACCAACAGTTCCTAAGAAGCAAATCTTCTTGAAGCTGAAATTCAATCCTGACATTGCCAGTGAGATCATGACATAACGCATAAAAAGAGTCTTGCATTAAAGTATTCCGAGCATGCAAACTATGTCCCATCTACAACCTCCCGATTCTAGGTGCAACTTCCATGTGCATTTATCAATTCAACTGCTACCGTGGAGCTAATTACATTGGGTGTACAATGAGGCAGTTCCATAGTCGAATTTCTCAGCACCACCCATCATGGTTGAGTAAGGGACAAATTAGAACAATAAACAAGTCCATACTTATACACCTAGTTGACATAGCACATCAAGTAGATACCAGAATGACCTTTGAAACTATTCATCAGATTCCAAATAATTTACCACATACTTGGATTATCCACTCGCTTACTTCAAACATAGCACAGGCGATTACAATCAATCCACCTCGACAAACAAACCTAATCTTTGTATTCCAAAGAAGTTTGTTCGATCACTTCGTTACCATGGACGTGAACATGATGTAACTTATAGGATAACTTTGTACACCTCTTCTCACCTCCTCCCTTGTTTCCATCAATATTCATTTATATTATAATTATTATTATTACGTAATCACTGATTGTTTATGACTGAACACTCATGAAGAATCACTTCATTTAACTAAGAGTAACCTACTTCACATATTACCAATTTCATTTACTCTTAATTTGTAAAACTTATCATCTTTATGACTTACTTATTGATGACCAACGCCTTCCGCTCTATCAACACTTGATTGGTATTTTGATTGAATTGGGATTTTGAGATATTTTCCCGGCTGGTATTCATCATGAACTGACATCAGGTGGAGAAAAATTGGAAACCTCAGGGTACTGGGCAGCTGACTCTTTAAACTCATTGGTGACTAGCTCTAAGAGGGGATTCCTGAAGTTCCAATGATAAGTCGTGACCAGTGAGACAAACCTGCTTACCATGAAGACAAATACTCATCGATGACATTGGGTTATTGGTCGCGCTATGTCTTGAACTGACAGAAGTTGGAAATATGGACCTACAGTGGCTCAATAGTAACGTGCTGACCACGGAAACTGAAGGTCGCTGGTTCGATCCCTAGTGGGGTCGTGTGTGCGCATACTAGGACGAAACAGCTGTCTAATACTTCCAGGTTCCCAATGTTCCTCCAATTGATGTCTGTACATGATGAACTAGAAATCCGTATGTCTATTAGTTTAGGGTCCAAGAGGAAGACCTATTTGAAAAGGAATATATTTTTCTGTTCGATCAGTCTTTTTTCTTCAAAAGAATGTTGAATCTACCTTTTCTCCTGTTTATTTATTTTTTCAATTGTCTTTCTGTACAGGTCTATTTTTGATCTTTCTGCTTAGTCTTTGGTTATTTTCAATATGTATTCACGCCTATGTCTACATGAATGAACCTGTTTGGTTGGAATCACAAAGACTTTTATTCTTGTAAGTGACTTTTATTATTATTGTTATTATTATTATTATTACATTATTATATTTTGTGATATGATCTTTATGTGCCAAGAGGACGCTGTGGCAGTTGTAAAAGATGAGCTTGTTTTGTCTGGAAGGAAGTTGAAGTTAACGTTTCAGTTCACTATCGACATTGCGATTATACATATATATATATATATATATATATATATATATATATATATATATATATATGGTTTTACCACCCTTGAAATCTCTTCAATCGTAATCCAACTTCTCATAGCATAGCACATTGAGGTAGGCGATGGCTCGGCATGTGCAATGCACATCCAGGGTTCAAAACCTCATCAATCGACTTGCCTGATTGACCTCAACAGTGCTGACACGATTATTCCACCGAAAGTGAGCTATGCTATAAAGATACTTATGGTCAAAAAACTGTAACTGCTTCATGTCTTCTACTTTGAACGGTCAAGTGCTACAGCTTCATATCAGGAGAGAATGAATTGCAGTGAAGTGTACTCATCGTTTGATAGATAGATAAATAGTCGGATACTTTGGCAAGATGATTGCAATGATGGGATAGTGATGTGTAAGAAATTCACAGAATTGAAGTGAAATCGAAACTTTACTGGCAGTTGCACCTCGTATCTCGATTGATAGATCATCAAGTGAATAAGTCTGAGATCGCTAGTTCGATTCCGGCCGTGGCTCACACTTGCACTTTCACCTTTTTTCCCCTATTTCTCTATTTTTCCATCTTAATTCCTTTCTATTCTTATATGTGTGGCGTCGGTATTGAAGACTGTTATGGAGTTAATATCAGATGGCCCGATCTTGTCATTAGCTTTCTGACTGACTGGATTATATTTCAAATCAGTTGATAGATATTGTCCTATCACTTGTCGTTTGTGCTGAGTACTGATCGATTGATATCCATAGTTACGCGGAAAGTAAAGGATTATGATGTTAGTATCACCTGAAAATCGACTTATCTCTTGTCAGTGATGTTACCCCAGGCAAACGTTATCGAGGTGAGATACAGAAGAAAAGAGGTGTCAGTCGCGCAAGCTGTGAAGCCTAGTCTACTGACACTTCCGTTATGATGTATACTCAACTATCGTCCAGATCTAAATAAGGTACTGTTTCCAATTGGCGTAGATTTTTTTTCTTACAAGTTCTTGAAGTAGTGATCATATGAAGATCAGTTGCTGTCTGTTGATCTAAATCCGTCATGGAAAGTGTAGACTTCGTTCATGATAGTATGGTTGAAAATACCCTTTCGGAAAAATTTGAATTCCATTGTTGGCATTCGATTGGAATAGAGAGCAGATAAGCTAACTCATATCTTTGTTAACCTTCACTTATTTCCCGTTTCTTTATCACTGTTATTACTCTTTTCTGTTCCCCGTCGAAGTTCTCTTTTTTGCATATTGTTACCAATTGTAACACGAAACAATATAGTTTGTCGTCACCCCTGTGGTCCCGGCAAAATATTCGAGTATCTGTCAAATTATGAATATACTTCGTTGTAGTCCGTTCTCTCCTGTTCTACGGCTTTGATACTTGATAGTTACAGGGTTTTGATCACAGATGTCTTCATAGCATTCCTCAAGTTTGGTGGAATCACCGAGTGAGCAGTGTTGAAATCAGTTAGGCGAAGGATACTAGATTAGAGATGCAAGTCGATGTGGGGATGTTTTAAACCTTAGTTGATTGAGATGACATAAGGATGTACTGCTCATGCTGAACCATCGCTTACCTCGACGAAGCATGTTAAAGGAATTTGTATTGAAGATGGTTCAGGGTGGCCAGACTAGGACCTGGAACCAGTCGATGAAGTCATTGACTTCTAGGTTGAGCCGTATGGGGAAATGTAGACTTCGCTCTTTAATATCACCTAAAGGTTGTACTTCATTCAAGAACTACGTATAACTATACACATTGGACGATGAGCTACGCGTGTTGTATGAAGGTGAGTGCTAGCACCACTTAGGCGCCGAGATATGAGTAAGTACAATATGATCGGGGTTCAAACCCATAACCTAACTGGTTAATAGTCGAGTGACTAGATGTATGTATGTGTATGTGAAGCTGAATAAATTCATAGTAATTTTCATGTATATATCTTCTTTTTTTCAATATATATTCCTTATCTGAATTAGATGTCGGATACGTTATCGTTTTATGGGATTTGATGAATCTGCAGCAATGAATCTTTGCGTTAATACTGCCCCATCAGCTCAGTGAAGATATCATCATCTTCATATGAAATTTCAAAGACACCAACATCTTCAACATTATATACTCTATCGGTTAATTTGAACTCAAATCATGTATACACATCATCATCATCATCAGAGTCGACGTCTAATAGACTAACAATAAAACCATCTCGTGTACAACAGCAACAGCAAGAATTGGGACAGTTAAGTCAACCAATTGATAATGGTATAACATCATCTCATCTTCAATATTTAAATGATTATCTACCAATTGAAGATGTAACTATCTATAAACCATCTGTTGGACCAATATTTTTACACTTAATGATATATTTCGCTATCAATCTTTTATATAATTCAATGTGTTTACTTGATCCATCAGTTAAACGAAGTTGGTGGTATTTAACTAAAAGGTAAATATGATATTATATACAATTATTATATTGATAATTATCGCTTAGGTTCCTAGTGGAACATAAGGCTTCAATAGCACGCCTCTATTGCACTCTGTTCTCTGCAATCTTTTCAACCTGTCTCCACGACTACTCACAAGCTCTCATTTCTTCTTCACACCATCTCTCCTCCATGTGTCACCCTCACCTTGAATGCCCAACTTGTTGTTTTCCATCTGGGTTCCACTCGAGGGCATGGCCTAGCACGTGATGTCCCCAGTTGACCTTCTCAATGTATGCCCAATCCATATGCAATTATAGTTAACTGTTATTCTCTGTTGTTTAACATTCCTTTTTTCGAAGACAATCGAGAACTTACTTCTCCTTCTGTTTGAAGCTTCATTGATGATTTTCAGAGATCCAAAACAGTTTGCTTATGAATATAGGACAAGTACTTTAGGATGCATCATCATAATATTGTTTGTAGTCTAGACAAAGGTGTTAAGTATGTTCATTGTAGCCTTTTAGATTACTCATCAAGCCTTTGACTCTGCTCCTACACTCCAAACTGGCTATATTCTCTACACTGTCTATAAAGGGAAGCACTTCACTTCATTGTTTACTGAAGCTGATGTACCACAAACTGTTGTACTTTCTCCTTTTCTGTTTTCGTTCCTCTGGTATAATTTACCTTATATTCTGTTGAAACTAATCTAATTAAGTATGCTGATGTCCTGAAGGTGTCTATTCCAGTCAACTGTCTCAATTAAATGGATTCTTCTCTGTTATCGATCAATGGTGTCAAGTTAAACCCTTTCAAAATGTCAGTCAGTTAATTTTAGCCTCAGGTGTAAACGAGACTTGTATGAGGTGCTTAAGTCTCATGAAGTTTGTTGCAGTACTGATGGTGTCTGTGCAGAAGGCAAATCGAGTGTTAACTATCTTCGATTGACTCTTACTTCTCAGCTTTGTTGGTTGTCTCATATCTTGTTGACTTGTAGAAAAATCTTTTGTTTAGCCTATTACATAGTGAAACTGAGACTGTCTGGTATAACTCAATACCTCTCTAGTTTGCGATTGATCAATTCCTGGATGTTACCTATTCTTCTGTATTGTTCCCCGCTGATGTTTCATGGTTTACCACTAAACAAGGAGTATGTTATATTGTGTAGGGGTCTGAAATCCATCAGTGAGTAGGGTGAGTGGTGTGCCCCTGGCCCAACTGATTAACACTGTGGTAGTTGATAGACATTTAAATCCCAGCAAACAACTAGCTACAGTAATTTTAACTGACAGTGAGCATCCACTTCATCATTCACAGTCCTCTCTCCTTGTATCTTCTCTCAGGGAGGACAAGAAGAAACTACATACGGTGACTGTATGCTCGCACAGCCAAGTACAAGAATTCAACTGCGTCCTCACCTAGCACGCACATTATGTGCGGCAAAAAGGGTGTTAAAAGCGAACTCACATATCAACCTTGTAAGGGTTAACAGTCTCATTTCCATACTTTAATTAACATTGTAAAATGTTCTCATTATTATTATCATTATTATTATTAGATTGTATTGCATATGAAGTGATTCTTGTGCTCTAGTAACCTAGGGGGTAAACGTCTGGTATGTGCAGCGACGAGTATTGGGTTTGAGCGTTAGGGCGGGGGGCGAATGGAAAGAACATCACTCCGCAATGAGGTGCAGCTGACAAGTTCCATGCACAGAAAAAAGTCGTGTCCTGTATCCTTTTGCTGACGATCAAGATAAATACAACATAATAAGTATTCGGGCAGTATTATCGAGGCATCCGCTTTCAGAAGTCGGACAATTTCACCCGGTATAACGATTAGAAATTAGAAGTAGTCATAAACACCATTCTTACTTGCTTTTCAATTGCCTGACCGATAGCTGCTACCTTGACGTGGTGGTCGGGCTTCCATATCACAATGACCCAACAAACTATGCTGGTGGAATACTTGTTCCCTCGAGGTCCTACCATACCAGAAAGGTCTGTTGGATAGTGGTTAGACGAAAAACAGTTACTGTTGTGGTGTAAATTACTACACTATGATGGGAGTCTGAGGGCGAAGTGATACTGCTGTTAGCTGGATGGGGTGTGACAGTAGTAAGGTGTTTCCCTTGGATGACCAGCAGTGCCATGCTGATGCTGCCTTCTCAGTGGAAGGGGGGAGGGGGGGGTTAGAAAAGGTTGGCCCCAAAAATAACACACTCCACCATGTCCCATGGTCTACCGGGCCGACGGTGTTGGTTCATTCACTGTTTCTTTTCAAACATCTGGCCCCAAAACAACAAACGATCAAAATAATCATACACCAAAGGCTTCGTGTGACAGGCCTCAAGCAGATGTCCGAAGGGGTTTGTGGTCAGACAAATCTGTTTGAGGTACCTTAAGAATAAATAGCCTTCCACGGTGTGGGCAGTCGGGAAGTGTCCACGACCTTCATAACTCTGTCAGCACTCAGGTTTCTTCAGCCTTCATATGTTGGGTATATTTGTGAAGTCAACTATGGGTCTAATGGGATAATCTGGTTTATGAACCCTAATAGTGCCATAAATCCTGCTAGGATTATGAGTTTTAAAGATTAAATCAAACCATTTAGACTTACATAGAGATGGTTTTAGTCGGCGTATCAGATCGGCTGTAGATTTCCTAATTTTATTCATGACGGTGTCTAAAGGTTTCTTGATCTCTTCAAATGGTCCTATTGTTGAAATAATCCAATTTGTCTTTAACTACAGTTGAATTGCGTTTATCAGACTTAACAATTACTATATCGTAGATTATTCAGAGCTCAATTTCCAAGTTTCGTTGAGTTTCTTCGTCTCTATTGCCTTTTCAGTGTTAATGCACACTGTGATCTAACGTTTATAAACCTGGTTACCTCATTAGACCCATAGTTGACTTCAGAAATACCCCTAACATATGAACTAGCAAAGTATTCAGCATCGATATGTTGTCCTATTAGAAACCGTTCTCATTACAGACCAGTAAAATCTTACGTAGTAAAACTAAGGCTTAATGACCTACATATATAGAAGAGGATGAAAAAAATGGTTGCCTTCGATGTACTAAGTCTTTATACTAAAATACCAATCACTACGACACTAAATATTGACTTACAACTTACTCAGACAACTAAGATATCGATAGATGAGATCATATTAAGCGTAGACTTATGGCTGACTTCTACAATCTTCAAGTTTCAGAACAAAATATACAGACAAACAGAAGGAGTAGCAATAGGATTGCCAATATCCCCAATGACAGCAGATATATATTTATGGATAGTTGGGGAAACATGACATTACATTACAAGAGTTTATTACTCCGCCTAAGAAATGGTGGTGATATGTGGATGACACATTTACTACTGTTTTGAAATCGGAACATATGGAGAATTCCCTTGCACAAAGAAACTCAGTAGTAGACGTAATCCAATTGACTTACGAGGAGATAGGAAATGAATAAGGAGAATTACCTATGTTGGATTGCAGGATGAAACGAAGGACAGACAAATGGTTTAGATACTACCGTCTACCAAAATCCGATACTAGGAATTGGAGCACGTAAAAGAACCACTACTAGTCAATAATTAGCCTCTATATTTTATTCAGAAATTCATATGAACACATAAGAAACGAAATAATAACAGTAACACGAGTAGGAAGGAGTTCACAGCCTCCATTGTATTACCCCATAAGGAGTGTACATCAAAAACCGTTATCTAGGATTCTCAACAAGACTGGAATTAGTGTCATTTAAGCCCACAAACTCACTCAGAGATAAGCTTTGTCAACTGGTTTAAGTATCCGATAGAACCAATTAAGCAAAATAATCTAATCTAATGGATTGTAAGTCAGACCAAGTGTATAGGTGAAACTAACCGGTAGGGATCAGTTTGATTAGTGGAACATCGGAATTTAGCTGAGTATAGAATGAAAGACTCCAATAACATCAATAATCTAGAAAAAAAACTCGTCTGATATAATAAGGTGAAGAGAGAGATTGATTAGAGAACTTTCGTTCATCGAATCAATCAATACACATCACATGTAATCGGAATGATGCCATATGTATACCACATATACGGAAAAAGGTTTACCACCAATAAAAGCAATGAATATAAGGTGGATGACAGGACTATAAAGATCAGACATCGAAAGTTGAGTGTAATCACTGTGATATGATGATTATGGGGAGTGATAATTGATGCTGGAAATGTCTTCATCAAGTAAATAATACCGAATCATGTATTGTGTGATATGAGTTTCACTTCCTTGTTTAACTCGTTCGACTGACTGGTGAGTTTTCCAGCTCTATTATATTTAGACATTAGACTGTACCTGACTTCACTGACTGACATTGGATGGGATGACTTGAGGTCTAGAGATACCTGTTAGATTATGTTGGTTTCCTGTAGATGGTGAACAGTATCCAAACCACCGACTTCTGTCCTCCGTTTCACTGTGGAATCCAACATAGGTAATTCTCCTTATTCATTTTCTACCTACTCATAAGTGAATTGGTGAGTTAGATGAGAGGAACATCGGAATTCAGGTGAATAGATATATATAGAATGACAGAGGAGGATAAGATGAATAATGTAGAAAGTAAGTCATCTGTCGCAATGCATGCACGTGTACACATAACCACACACACACACACACACACACTATAGGGGGTGGGTGGGTGGGATAGAACCACTGTACTTAACTCCAACGTAATTAGGTGAACAGAGAGAGATTGATTAGTGGATCTCTGTTCATCGAATCAACCAACACCCTACTGATGTAATAGGAATGATGACGCAACCCTGTACCAGGTATATGGAGAATGTTTACTACCAATGATGATAGGACTATAAAGATCAGACATCGGAAGTTGAGTGTGATCAGTGTGATATGATGATTGTGAGCAGTGATAATTGATGCTGGAGATGTCGTCATCAAGTAAATAATACTGTATCACATGGTGTGTACTATATCATGACCAAGTTTTACACTTACATTAACTATCCTTCTGCCTCTGGTCAAGAATTATCCTCGAAGAACGCTAGAATACATCCATCATTAGTACTTTCAGATATTTGAGAATTTTGTTTTTAAGGTAGTATTCATCATGGACTGGTATCAGTTGGAGAAACATTGGAAATCTGAGAGCACTCGATAGCTGCTGTTTTATCCTAGTATGGAGCTTTTCAGCGGTGCTCACCCATGACCCCGCTAGGGAGTATAGATTCACTGGTTCACTGGTTATGTGCTAACCACTGAGCCCAGAAGGTCATTGGTTCGGCCCCCTGGGTCAGCATTGTTGAGGAGTCCTATACTAGGACGCATACAGCTGTCTAACTCTCCCAGATTTCCAATTATCCTCCAGCTGATGCCAGTTCATGAGGAATACCTACCTGAATTCGCGATTGTCATCCAGGATGTTCAGTTGACATCCTCTTCACTTCCGGCTGGTTGATATAACATCATAGGTCACAATTTCTCTGGAAGAATGTCAGTAATGAGCGCATTGTACATTGATGTACTCTGAGTAGTAGCTAATTAACGTTTTATTTCGTATAACTATTTACTGTGTTGTCTCATGAAATTGTCAGCATTAAACTGTACTTATGTTCTTGATTGTATTGTGTTCTCTAAGCTGGGTTGTTCAATCATGAAGCTTTCATCGTCTTTCTGGACGACATCATAAGCACTAACTTCAGTATGAAGTGAACTGTCAATATCTCTCCGTGAGTGATTAAGTGGCTTGCTCTGATGATGTGGTCTATGATTGGTTGTTTTCTTCGATTGTTGTGTCATTCACCGACTACATAGATTTTCCTGTTGGCTGTTCCTCTCTTTGACCTCTGACCTTTCTGTCGTTTATCATTTTTCTTATTGGTTGATACATTGGGTCTATGTCTATGCATCTGTTGATTGCTGACTAACTGACTGATCTGAATCCCAAGGTTCTAGGAATTCTCTGATGATATTCTTTGTGTTTCCTCTCTCTCTGTTGAAGATTTCTACGATTAAACAACCCAGTATAGAGAACACAATACCAATCAAGATCATCCACCTGAGCTATAGATATTCTCCATTACTGCACTTATATGATTGTATGTTCACATAACTTCAGTAGACTATTCTTTAAAGTAAAATATCACTTTGTATTATTTTTTTCATTTTAAAGGATTGTATTTTGGTGTCGACCAAAAAGGAGATATTCACGAAATATTCAACATCTTCATCCATATTCATATCATCATGATAGTGAACAACATGGACATCATTTTATCCATGATTATCATTCAGATATTGAAGATGGTCATATCGATGAGAATAGTAAACATGAAATATTAATGACACAAAATGTAACAACAACAATAAGAAATGAAAATGATTATTTTGTCAAATCATATTTAAATCATGTGACTGTTGGATTCAGTTGGTGGGATCCTGGATTTTTTACTACACCTACACCGATTCTATCCAATTATGACTTATGGATTAAGTGTAATACTTTGTATTCGTATAAAAAAGCAGGTAAACAACATAAACATAATACTTTATTACAAGAATTTGAGCTAACTAAATGTAAATCAGATCTTCTATGTACTGGTAATGATATGATGAGTAATACCAATAGTATTGTGACTACAATTACTACTTCTCCTGTCACTACTACTACTACTACCACTACAGCTACTACTCATATCGAAGGTAGTAATATTGATCATATTACTAAGGTTATCAATAATAATCGTGATATTATTGATTTTTGTATAAATAATCCTGATCAATTTAGTCATATAATGGATCCATTCGAGTCATTACTATTAGCGACAGCATCAAATGATCAAGTATGGATGAATCCACCTCCGACTTCATTAACATCATCATCATCATCATCATATGCTAAATTACTTTCATCAAATCATAATGTTATAGAACAATTTCCTTTATATCAACAAGTACAACAACCTGAACAAAATTCACAGATATCATCTACAATGAATTTGGAAACAGCATTACATATCCTACGTCAATTACATCATCAACTTATCACTACTACTAGTGCTAATACAAACACGGTTGGTAACAATATCTCTGTTAATCAACAGGCATTTTTTGATATTCATCCTAATAATACTACTACTACTACATCGCTGATGACGACAACAACAACAACAACGTCTACTTCTACTAATAGTAGCAGTAATAGTAGTCGTGCTGTTGGTACCGGTGATAACACTAATGTTGTATACCCTATGGCAAATCAAACAGAATTGAATTCAAATGTATTCACTAATCATAATAATCTTTTTGGAAATTATAATTTCATTAATTCTTTATCGAATGATGCGGATATAACCGCTTCGTTAACCGCAGCTGCTGCTTATGAGCATTATCAGAAACAGTTGTCAGATTTAACAGCGGTAAGTGAGTGAGTGAGTGAGTGAGTGAGTGAGTGAGTGAGTGTGTGAGTGAGTGAGTGAGTGAGTGTGTAACTGGTCTTATTTTTCTCCTATTATTGTAGGGTATATCACGCCGTCGAAGTAGACACAAACGATTGTTGTCTGGTCGTACTTCAAGTAAGTCACTTAGTTACAGCGTTGTTATTATACTGTTATACATTGTCATTTACCTTAAACTGTCGACTATTGAACTGTAATTGTAGTTGTCATTATTAAATTTTACATTACTCTCACCAAAATATCTCTGAGTTCATGCGGTTGTTTTATATTCCGACGACACAGAGTGTTTCACACTTATTAAATGTAAGTTAATCCTGTAGAAGTGATCTGCACCAACTTTTAACTCAAGGATAGAGAAGAAGTTGTGGTATCCACTAATCACTTCACATACTTTGTGGACGCTGATAGATTTTTTTTGGTGGAGAATTCCCTGCATGGATGCAAAAGGTGTATCTGACTTCCATGAACTTACATTGTCATCAAGAGAATGAATAAGTTGCACAAGAAGTCACTATATCCTCCTTTATGACTGTTATCGTGTCCCCTTAAAACGAAAAACATGATGAGGCAACAGATTATTAATCATAAGCAACGGCTTCATAACACTACTTACCTTGAGAACCTCAGTAAGTAAATAACATTTAGGTCAAGTTGTAGTGTTTACTTTGAAATGCCCGTCAATCAGGCTATAAGATTTCACTATCTGAAATCATTATTCACACACTTCAGTTCTCCGCCTACCCCAATACATGATATTGGCTGAAGTACAATTAGTTTGGAAGTAAGCCAAAGCTTTTCAAGTCTCCCTTGCTTGATTTGAGTTATCCATGGAAGTATAAACTGGCTTGATTGAGTCGCTCAATAATGTTAGACGATAACGGTTGATGAATCTTAGTGACATGTTTTAAAATTGATCATGATGTCCTAGATACATTCAGGTTATCATTGTCGTCTTCAAAGGTTTTTCTACATCTTTATTGACCTTCTCCTAACACTTTTCATTCTATATCTGTTTACTTATGGATTATATACGGTTTAGAAGTATGATCAAATGATATAACTCACTACTTTGCTCATATTCTTTATTGATTTCCCCGTGTCCAGTCAGTCTACATTGATTGATCACGAGAGAGCAACTAAGTTCATATTGTCTAGTTCAGTCCAAGTACTGACCATATTCTGTCAATCATATTTGCATTGTGATCATCAAGATAGGAGGCTCAGCATCGCGATACACAATAGTTAGTTGGAGGCAGTCACCATGATGCCCTGGACTTAGTTTTCATACTTCTCAGCAAGGTGTATTTGAAACGTCGACGCAACTGATCGTCCACCTGAGATTCGAATCTGGGTCGTCCAGTGCTATAGTCATTGACGTCACCACTGAGCTATTTAGATGAGGATTCACCTCTTGTAGGACTGAGTTACATAGATTGATTGGTCATGAGAGAGCAACTAATTTCATATTTTCTTCATTATTCCCATTGTGACATTAAAAACAAGATATTCAGCTAAGAGGACTCTTTTCAACGAATTTATTCTCAAGCTGTACATTCATATATATATACATATGATATTTAAAGACTGTAATCCGTGATATACCGGCAAAATGATGGGGTTGCAATGGGATCCCCACTATTACCTCTAATGGTAGATTGTTTCATGTCAAAACTTCAAAATTCTATTTTTAGCCAAACTATTAAGCATTTTGACATCTATAAACGATATATGGATGATATATTCGTTATTTGCGACTCAACTATCGACTTGGATGACATCCAACGCGAGTTTAACAATTGTCACTCAGCGTTGGAATTCACTATTGAGAAGTAATTGGAATCAGCTATTCCTTTCCTTGACGTACTGATTACTAGGCGTGGCAATGCAACGCTGAAAAGATCCATCTATAGGAAACCCACATGGAATGGACAACTCACCAATTTCTATAGCTAGGTGCCGATTATGAGGAAGAGAAACCTCATCCGCTCACTGTGCCATCGAATACGTAATATTTGTAACACGGAATGTGTTCAACTTGGACTTGACTTTCTAAGATGGACGCTCGCGGGAAATGGCTATCCTAGCCGATTTATCGACAAGAATATGCAAGAAACACGTGCGAAACCAGTCACTAGGTCAGTTTCAAAAAAGACTTTGTTCATGAACCTGGACGTCAAAGATGATGCAGCATCAGAAATCCTGAAAAATAGTCTTTCCAGATCAATTAGTAGGACCTTTTTTGCAGCAAAACTTTACTTGATCTTTACCAGTCATAAATTGTTCTCCGTTTGTATAAAAGACAATATCCCTCGACAGGCCACATCCATGTGTATCTACCAGTTCACCTGCTGCTTCTGTGGAGCAAGTTACATTGGTCATAGTCAGAGATTGCTGTCAACACGTATACGAGAACATATTCTGGCTGGCCTGGTTTTATAAGGGTCAAAGGAAATGTATCAGAAGTTCTATCCTTGAACATTTAATCGATTCCAATCATTCAGCCAACCGAAAGAAGGATTTCAAGGTTGTCTATTGAATTCGCCCTAAGACACTTCACTTTTCCTGCGTGTTCAACTTTTAAAAACAGCAGAGGCCTTGGCTATCCATGAACTGAAGCCTGACCTTTGTGTACAAAAGAAGTATGTACAGTCTTTGTCTCTACCTTGACCTTAATTTATTTTAGTCTTGGTGGGCTCCGTCCTCTTTTTTCGTTTTTCACCCCCCCCCCTTCCCCTTTTTTTGTCAGATTAATCTTTGTACTCTTATATCATGATTATCACTCTGTTTTTTGTATTCATTAGTTTCCGGTATTATTTCATTTAATCTTTCTAATTATCTCAACTTTTAATAAAACATTTTCAATTTACTCCAATTAACCTGTTGTCTTATTTATATTACCTAATACTTTGGTTGTTTATTAACGTTTATTAACCAAGGACCATATACAACAGCTAAAACTAATCAAAGATAACAGGGATATTATCATAAGCCGTCCTGATAAGGGAGGAGGCATTGTCCTAATGAATCGTCAGGAGTATACTGATAAACTTTCCGTAATCCTCTCTGATCCCACTAAGTTTAGTAAACCCGAAGGTGAGCCCAATAAGACACATATAATTGAAACACAACTCACAAATGTCTTAAAAAACATGAGGGATAAATCAATAATTGATCCTGATTTATATGAACGTATCCGACCGGTTGGCTCTATAATCCCACGTCTATATGGACTACCGAAGATACATAAAACGGGATTACCTCTTCGTCCGATCCTCGATATGGCTGGTTCTCCCTATCACCGAACTGCTCAATGGTTAGCTGAAATTCTGGAACCTGTTAGAAGGCAAGTATCGAGTTTTTCTATCCGTGATACATTTCAGTTTGTTGAGGGTATTAAGGATTTTAATGCTCTAAACAAGATGATGTTTTCATTAGACGTCACTTCATTGTTCACGAGTGTGCCACTCACCGAAACTGTCTGTTATGTATGTGACTATATTGATGCACATAATTTAGACGTAGGACTACCAACGAGCTGCTTGAAAGAGCTTTTGTTGAGGTGCACATTTAATGTCCAATTCAGTTTCAATAATGAAATCTATAGACAGAAAGATGGAATTGCGATGGGGTCACCATTGGGACCACTGCTAGCAGATTTCTTCATGTCGAAACTGGAAAATTCAAACTTCGTCAAACTATTGATAGCTTTGACTTTTATAGAAGATATATGGACGACACGTTTGTTATTTGCGACAAAAATGTAGACCTCGACGACGTGCTTCGTTCATTCAATGAATGTCATCAAGCCCTCAAGTTTACTATAGAGAAGGAATCAGAATCAACTATTCCTTTTCTTGATGTGCTTCTCACCCGACGTCAGAATGGATACCTTAAAAGATCCATCTACAGAAAACCAACGTGGAACGGACAACTAACTAATTTTTATAGTTGGGTGCCCATCAACAGAAAAAGAAATCTTATTCACTCTCTTTGCTATCGAATAAGAAGTATCTGTAGTGACGATTGTATCGAGAAGAGCTATCTTTTTAAAAAGCATACTTGTCGAAAACGGTTACCCTAGCCGTTTTATTGATAAAAATATGCGGGAAAGAAACACTAAACCAGTCATCCACTCGGTCTCAAAGAAAAGATTGTTTATGAGCCTAGAGTTTAAAGGAGACCTAGCATCGGATGTACTGAAGAATCGTCTTACCAGATCAATCAATAGGACTTTCTTCGCAGCAAGACTCCAGTTGACTTTTACCAGCCGCAACCTATTCTCCACCTGCGTCAAAGACAAGCTTCCTCGTTTGGCCGCCTCTATGTGCATCTACCAGTTCACCTGCTCCTGTGGAGCAAGGTACATCGGCCGTAGCCAGAGAATGCTTTCTACACGTATACGAGAACATGTTCCTGCTTGGTTTTATAAAGGTGAAAGAAAGTCTGTTAGAAGTTCGATTCTAGAACATTTGATTGACTTCCATCACACAACAAATCCAGACGATGACTTTGAAATTATTTATCGAATTCGCCCAAACCTCCCACGTTCTCTTCGTTTTCAACTCCTTAAAACAGCGGAGGCTTTAGCTATTCATGAACTAAGACCTGATCTGTGTGTACAAAAGAAGTATGTGCAGTCACTGTCTTTATCATGGCCATAACATTTTCCCACCCCATTAGCTCCCCCTCCCACTTTGTTAATTTAACCTTTGTATCCTTCCTTTATCACTATTATTGTTATTATAATCGCCTTCACTTCAACTAGTTTCCGGTGTTGTTTCACTTAATTGTCTTAATCCTTTTAGAAATTGACTTCATCTTGTCCAATTTGTCTAATGCCATTACATAATACTTAATTGATTTACCATTTTCAACAATTTTTTCACCCCCTTCTGAGTTATATACTCTCTATGTACCATTCCATATATTACATAATCTATTTGTTATCATTCGCACTTCAATTGTTGTTATAATCACAAATGCAAAAATTCCCATTTAGACATTTAGTAAAACAAACAATGTGAGCGAAGAAATATTTCTTTTCAATTAGTTCCTCATCAATGGCTCTACACTAATATATATGTAGCATTTTCAAACGTAAAATTACATACCAATCTAGTGGTGAGAGTTATTCAATGAAAGGTTATCAATCTCAAAGTATCAAGAAGGTGATAATTTATCAGGTAATTACGACAGTGTTAACTAAAGCACAGGAGATTAATTATCATAGAAAGATGCTGTGAACAGGTTCTTACATAATTGATATTTTATATAATGATAACTAAAGAGCAAAAATGAACTGTCACGTAAAATGGTAAATTGTTGACGGTAATTAGAGACAGTAGGGGGAGAGAAAGATGGTTAAGTCTGTAATAATAATAATAATAATAATAATAATAATAATAATAATAATAATAATAATAATAATAATAATGGAGCTATTGAAATATTAGTTATAGTGAATTGTGTGATGAATGATGATGAATGATGCCTTGGCCATCTGTATAGCTCATTTATTACAACAAAACTCTTCATTTCATTCATCACACAATTCACTATAACTAATATTTCAATAGCTCCATTATTATTATTACTATTATTACAGACTTAACCATCTTTCTCTCCCCCTACTGTCTCTAATTACCGTCAACAATTTACCATTTTACGTGACAGTTCATTTTTGCTCTTTAGTTATCATTATATAAAATATCAATTATGTAAGAACCTGTTCACAGCATCTTTCTATGATAATTAATCTCCTGTGCTTTAGTTAACACTGTCGTAATTACCTGATAAATTATCACCTTCTTGGTACTTTGAGATTGATAACCTTTCATTGAATAACTCTCACCACTAGATTGGTATGTAATTTTACGTTTGAAAATGCTACACATATATAAGTGTAGAGCCATTGATGAGGAACTAATTGAGAAGAAATATTTCTTCGCTCACATTGTTTGTTTTACTAAATAATCACAAATGTGTATGTCATCATTCGCTCTATTATTATTATTGTCATCATCATGTGGTGTTTAGTTTTCCTTACAGGATATAATTTTTTCCAAATATCATATATATACGATTGTACAGCTTGAGAATAAATTCGTTGAAAAGAGTCTTTTAGCTGAATATCCTGTTTTTTATTTATATTACCTAATACTTTGATTGTTTATTAACGTTCTCACCCCCTTTTTAAGCTATATGCACTTTATAAACGACTTGAAAGTCTTACATAACCCCCTTTTTGTTGCCATTCAACCTTTATGTCATCAACTATCAACATGATAATTATCACCACCACCATTATTATTGTTTCAACCCCCCCTCCCCCCTCATTATTTCAGTTAAATCTTCCTCATGGATTACAGTCTTTAAATATCACATATATATACGAATGTACAGCTTGAGAATAAATTCGTTGAAAAGAGTCCTCTTCGCCGAATATCTTGTTTCTAATTTCATATTGTCTAGTCTAAGTATTGACCATATTCTGTCAATCATACTTACAATGTACCAACTGCCTCCATCCCAACCACCAATGTGTTTGTTGTACTAACTAGTTATTGGCCTATACAATAATATTGGTTATATTCATTGACTCTCTTTGAAAGTTTTCGCTTTATCTTGTTTATTTTTTTCTTCATTCAGTTCGTCGTCATAGTCAATCGCGTAGTTTCTCTTCGAATGGCTTATTCATTCCGGGATTAACAGCATCTATGAATCTTAAGGTGAAAGGAACAAGTTCTTCAACTTGTTCTGCAACATCAAAGTCAATTGGTCAACCGTCAAGTTCAACAACACCGGCGGCGGCAGCAGCAGCAGGCTCATCATCATGTCTTTTTCAAAGAGGTTCTTCATTCAATTTGTTACAAGCTGCAGCTTCCATTGTTGCTGCTGCGGCGGCGGCGGCAGCAGCAGCTGCTACGGCAAAGGCGGATAACACAACTCATAGTAATAATAATAATAATAATAATAACAGTAGTAATTTCAGCAGTAGCAAACGTCGTCTCAGTCAATCGGGTTTCAGTGGAATTGATGCATTTTCTACTCATCATTTGGATAGTTCTAGTGGCGCAGCCTCAGGTTGGTCAACTTAATTGATCACTCTTATCACATTCTGAGTAGATAATCAATTGTATTGTTGTTGTTGTTGTTGACTGGTACAATTTAACTTTAACAAAAAGGTATAAACTTCGATATGAATCGGTAGTTGGTTAGAGGCTGAGGTTAAAGGTAACTGATTATCCTCACTGAAATCCCTATCCATATCATCCAATGATTCAGTCAGTGATGTTATCATCGATCGCCTTGGATTCCAATACCTTTCTAATCATCAGATAGTAATCAAATTCTATTGTCATGCTGAGTTTTTTTCGATTTTTCATACGAATATATATGAAAGTAGTCGATAGAATTCAATTAGGGCTTAAAATTTCATAAAATGTAATTGTTTACTCTTCAGAGACATTAATCCAATGTAGAGATAAATTTTTCTTTGAGGTTTTCAATGACTATTTCTAGGCATGGAGACTGACTGATCAACTTCCGCAGTAGTTATATTTTCTGAAAATGTTAATACAATTATATCTTAAAGTAAACTGGAAGTTTGAATAGTGAATAACCACGACCTTCCATCAGCTTCAGACGTTGCCTACAATTGAAATCATTTTTATTTTTCGCTTGGGTTTATAGTGGATCATAGGGCTTCAGTAGCACGTCTTCATTCCACTCTCTTCTCTGCAGTCTTCTCAACGTGGCTCCACCAATGCCGACAAGCTTTGATTTCCTCTTAACCCCATCTCCTCCTTGTCATCCTCGCCTCAGATACCCAACTCGTGGTTCACCATTTGAGTTCCACAGTGTATGTCCAACCCTATCCATCTTCACTTTGTTCCTGTGAATATTTGTTGGGCGATGGATGGGTTGTTGGTCGGTTGGTTCGTTGCCAGCCAGCTAGCCAGCCACAGTTGGTTGTTTCTTGTTCTGCCTGGCCATCTCATCTGATCCTCAGTATGGAGTGAGCGTAGGTGGCAGATGTTGACGATGTATGTGTGTAGTTTGTTTGGAATGGTTTCCGTGATGTGGCAAGTTTGTGAACTATGACATGGAAGCCAGTGATTTGATTGAATTAATGTTGAAAGTCTGGATGTTGTTTATGCTGAGTGGGATGATGTGCAGTAGGTCTGCACACTGATTTCAGATTGATGAATGAAGGCGTGTGTTGCTGTTGTTGTGATCCTGACTTTGACGTCGTCATGTGTGCCCGTGCTGTCGCGTGTAGTTGAAACGATGCTGCATAGGTAGGTAGGGAGGTAGGTGTTTAGGTGGTATGTAGTTAGGTGAAAGAGACAACTTCCTTTAGTTTTCTCGCATTCATGGTGGTTGATGCTTGTTGTTGTTGTTGTTTGGGTATGTTGATGACCTCCGTTTTCTGTTTATTCAGTTGAAGGGAGTGCCGTCTTGTTTGGGTGTCTGTTCTATCAACTTGTTGATTTTGTGTGTAGATCTTTGAGTTAGTACGACAATTCATTGGACGTGAATGTTGATAGGTGAAATCCAAATGTTGTAGGGTCTTTTTATCGTTCGAGGCAGCATATACCCATCTCGTACCTCACAGTTTGTTGCATGATCCAGTCGAGTCGACCAGAATGAGGAAGATGATCGATGATAGTAGACGGCAATCTTGTCTTACTCCTGTCTTCACTTCAAAGGCGTCACTGAGCAACTGAAATGAAATATTAGTAATAGTGACATAATATACTTTAGATATACTGGGTGATAGTTGAAGGTGAAATGAAAATTTGAACCCTGGCCTGACTCGAACCAGAGACCAGTGGCTACGGCTATCTCGGATAATCAGTCAAAATGATGGTCAACATGATGCTTTTCCTCTCTAATTCACTTAGATTTCGAATAGGATGGGAAGTTCTGACAGTGGGCAACGAGTGTGTGAATACAATCAAGTGGCAGTAGTAGCTGCATCATAAATTCATATGGTAGTCGTCGGGCAAAATCTCGCTTGCAGTTGAAGTTAAAAAAAATATGGTTAGCAGTGTGGCATCTTAGCTCAGTTCGTAGAGCATCAGGTTGAAAACCTAGTGGGGTGGCTGTTTCGAATTCGGCCATGGTTCATATTTTCATTTCCTCTTTCAATCATTACCCAGTATAAATAAAAGTCTACCAAACCGCGGCTACCTTAAATAGTGAAAATGATATTTTAGATATGTAGAAATAAATGGAAATTAGAAATCCAGGAGTTGTGGAATGGTGTGTGGGAGACAACAAGCATATAGGATTCTAAAAGTAGGGTTATTAAAGACCTAATAGGTTACGTAACGATATGAAAAAAACTTGAAAAAGCGTCAGACTGAGTGAGCGATTAACAGTCAGTAACTAATTAGTGAGAAGATGAATGTGTATAGAAAAAGAAAGACTGTATACATACATATGCAAAGATTGGATACAGTCACCAGAGTAAAGGAAGGTTAATTATTGTCTCTTTCTTGGAACACAAGCCAGGTTGAAGATGTTTGATAAAGAAAGCTTTGAGAGATTGTAATAACCATGATGTTCTTTGTTTGATGATTATCCTAAAGGATTGTGAAACATCTACATGATGTTGTTTCTCCATAAAGGGCCTAGCGATATACACAGTTGGAGGTGACGTGAGCTGGATATTTGTCTACTCTCGACTGTATCATTGATCACACTGTATTGTAAACTAAGATCAGTCTGACAACAGGGAACCTCCTTCTTAGTGGTGTGTAGCTTAGATCTTTCTGTCTTTTGTTTCATATGGTCTCAATCATCCTTGATCGCCAGATGAATTGAATGAGATTAAGTCTATCAATGTAAAAATTATCACTTTTTTTATGCATATCACTGTTTTCTTTCAAATCTCATTTCAGCTTTTGGTGGAAGTCAAATATCTTCAACATCTGTTCGAAGTGCTTTAACTAGTACTGGTCCATCTCGTCATCATCGTCGACGACGTGATGGAAATTATACACGACCATCATCAACATCTGAAGCTCCATGGAATACTTTGAATGATATGAAAATGAACTCTGATATAGCGCCTACAATAAATCATAATCATATACAGAATATGACTAGTTGTATGTCTTCTCTACGATCAATATCATGTGCATCATCATCAGGTGCTGAATCTTACAATTCCTATCGATTATTAATTAATCAAGCTGGTGCAAGTTGGAGAGAATTATGGCGTACAAGAATGTTATTAATGCATGTATTACGTTGGGCAGAGAATGTTGCCCCATTCATGCAAACTAATTGTAATGCTACTACTACTACTACTAATAATAACAGTAATAGTAATATGAACAATATGAATTCTGGTTTTATGAATAATGAATTGAACAGATCACAGATTAGCCTATCGAATTATAATATGCCTGTTAATACTGAAAGTCATCATGTAGAGTGTGTTAAGACGACAACTGTTATTCCTAATACTGTTCCTGTTTGTTGTACTACTACTACTACTACTACTACTACTACTACTACTACTAACACGTTGAATATGAGTCAACAGGCGGAATTTATCCCGAAAGCTTCAGATGGTAATCAGGATTTCAACTCTCAACTAGTTCAGTTGATTATGTCTTTAATTGAACAACAACAACAACAACAACAACAACAACAATCCCTCAACCTTAGAGTTGAATCCCAATCAAAATTAGACATGGAATCACAATTACCAATTAGTCCATCAAATTCTCTACAGATGAATTCATTGTTGTATACTCCTTCCACTAATACTGATGGTGGTGTTACTTCCACTTCTGCAGTCTGTGGTGGTGCTATTGTGAATCAGTTCATTGGACAACCAAATCAATTAACGTCGTCAGTAGATCCAATGATGGCGGCAGCATTCGCAGCGGCTACAGCTGCAGCTACTGTTGCTCTACAACAACAACAACAACAACAGCAACAGCAGAACCAACAACCTCTACGTCAGTCATCCTCAACTAATTCAGCATCATCACCTGTAGGTGTTGTTGACCCATTGATTCAGCCAACTGTTGACAATATCACGGATAATAATAATAACAGTGGTCGGTGTAATGTTGTTGTTGCTGGACCATGTTCATTTACTTCAATGGTTAGTTGTTTTTCATAGTTACTATTATTATTACACTGTCCTGTTTGCTTTTTACTGTTATGATGATAATCAATTTACTTTTTGTTATCCTATGAAAATCTATCTTCCTAGCCGAAATCTGATTAATTTATTTTCAGCAGTTACTAGGTAGGGGGCAGGGTATTGGCTTTAACATCACTCTTTTTTTCCACCTTGTTTTTCAGTACAATTTTCTAATTTTTTTTTCCCCGTAATGAAAATGATGAATTTATTGATTTTATCATAAAAATCGGCTATTGTATAATGTTACTGTCAACTAATTGGCTCCAGTCGTATATGGTGCACTACAGGGTGAACACTACAGAGTTGTCACTTATCAATATCATCTGTGTCTCTGTAACTTATTACTAATTATCATAAGTATTATTTTTCGTTTGTGTTTCTAATGGAACATAGGGCTTCACTAGTATGTTGGTATTTCACTCTGTTCTCTCTAGTCTTTTGAACCTGGCTCCACCAATGCCGACAAGCTTTGATTTCTTCCTAAAGCCATCTCCTCCTTGTCACCCTCGCCTCAGGCACCCAACTCGTGGTTCACCATTTGAATTCCACTCGACGACCTCACCTGGCCTGACACGTGATGTCCCCAATGCTTCTTCTCAGTCTGTGTACAATCCAACCCTATCCATCTTCACTTTGTTCCTGTGAATATTTGTTGGTCGATGGATGGGTTGTTGGTCGGTTGGTTCGTTGCCAGCCAGCCAGCCAGCCAGCCAGCCAGCCAGCCAGCCAGCCAGCCAGCCAGCCAGCCAGCCAGCCAGCCAGCCAGCCAGCCAGCCAGCCAGCCAGCCAGCCAGCCAGCCAGCCAGCCAGCCAGCCAGCCAGCCAGCCAGCCAGCCAGCCAGCTAGCCAGCCACAGTTGGTTGTTTCTTGTTCTGCCTGGCCATCTCATTTGATCCTCAGTATGGAGTGAGCGTAGGTGGCAGATGTTGACGATGTATGTGTGTAGTTTGTTTGGAATGGTTTCCGTGACGTGGCAAGTTTGTGAACTATGACATGGAAGCCAGTGATTTGATTGAATTAATGTTGAAAGTTTGGATGTTGTTTATGCTGAGTGGGATGATGTGCAGTAGATCTGCACACTGATTTCAGATTGATGAATGCAGGCGTGTGTTGCTGTTGTTGTGATCCTGACTTTGACGTTGTCATGTGTGCCTGAGCTATCGCGTGTAGTTGAAACGATGCTGCATAGGTAGGTAGGGAGGTAGGTGTTTAGGTGGTATGTAGTTAGGCGAAAGGGACTACTTCCTTTAGTTTTCTCGCATTCATGGTGGTTGATGCTTGTTGTTGTTGTTGTTTGGGTATGTTGATGACCTCCGTTTTCTGTTTGTTCAGTTGAAGGGAGTGCCGTCTTGTTTGTGTGTCTGTTCTATCAACTTGTTGATTTTTGTATGTAGATCTTTGAGTTAGTACGACAATACACTGGACGTGAATGTTGATAGGTGAAATCCGAATGTTGTATGTGAAGTGGTTGATACACTCAAACGTATCCCAAATATCCTAAAATTGCCTTTTTCAAGATGTCCAGAAAGACTTAGCATCTTCACTTAACAGAACTATATCCTCTAAGCACTCTGAACCTACTAAGAAGGCTCCTATGATGTCAAATGATGAGAGAAAGACCTTCATAAGAAAGTATCTGACGAAGTTGAACAGGAATGGAGAGAGAGAGAACACTGATATTGTGTTCATGATATGTTTTTCTCTAGTAAGACAATAAAATAGAAAAGGCAATTCTAAGAAAGAGATCGGAATGTCAAACAATTAGCTTCGTTTATGAATAAGAAATAGGTAACCAGTGTGAATTATGTAATCACTATAGCTGCGTAATCCATCTCAATACACACACTTTTCATAGGAGTTTATAAGAAAAAAAACCGCAGACCGAAAATGAAAGCTGAATTTATCAAGGAAGGTTTGATATGATGAAAAATTGTTTCTGAACCGATAAAAGTAACTTCAACTTCCCTAACAGTGAAATACATCAACAAATGCAGTAGTCGAACAACCAACTATCATTCATAGATGTTTTAGTCAGTAGAACAAATACCAGAAAACTGGAAACCCAGGTGTATGAGAAGCCAACACACAATAACTGATGAAATCCTCAACAACAACGCACAGAATTAATCGCGTGACACCTCCATTCAAAAGAGCGACAACACACTACAGTACAACAACTTCATGGAGAAACAAAGAAAATTCCATGATGTCTATCCTAAAGAAAAATGGCTACCCACGAAAACTTATCACAAGACGCGTATCCCATACATCATCTATAGAAATCAACAAACACATCATCCTACCATACATACAGAAGATGTATCAGAAATCACGATAGGATTACTGACACCACTTGGTGGAATCGATGTGGCCACTCATCAACCAACAAATCCCCTCAAAACCACACTATCCAGACCAAAGAATGCAACAACCAAAGACCAAAGACAAACCGAATATCATTTATAAAATCAACTGGAATAACCAACTGTAGTCAACACCCTCACACTGAAGAAAGTCATCGCCCCTGCTTCACTTTCCCTCACATGAGAACACCAATCAGATATTAAATCACACACACACACACACACACACTTCATCACTCGTCACTCAGCCCACGTGGATAACACAAATATGGACATGAATTCAATTTTGACACTGTAGAAATCTTCGGTGGAGAGGGGAAACACAAAGAATATAATCACAGAATTCCTAGAAGTTCGGCATTCAGATCAGACAGACAGTCAGCAATCAACAGATGTATAGACATAGACCCAGTCTATCAACTAATGAGGAAAAAGGATAAACGACACAAAGGTGAGAAGTGGAGTAGAAGAAGAGCCAACAAGAAAATCTATTCAGTCAATCAATGACATAACAATCAAAGAGAACAACCAATCAAAGACCAGTTGGTCACGGCAATCTACTAAATCAATCATTCATGGAGGGATATTGTGGCAGCTCACTACTTCATACTGAAGAAGTTAGTACTGCTGGTGCTGCCGATGATGATGATGATGATGATGATGATGATGATGATGATGTCACTGTCTAGAAAGAAAAACAATGAAAGCTTCTCCACGATTAAACAACTCACCTCCTCCTCAGGGAATACAATACAACCAAGACCATCCACATGAGTTAGAGACATTCTCCACCACTGAGTAAATTCCTCATCCCTAGACTACTCATTCCATCGTGTTCTCAGAAAGAAGTGAAACGGTTGAAAAGATAGATGTACTGGCTTCCAGTCTACAAGGGGAACAACATCACTCCTCAACTGACGAATCAGTCGTAAATGAGGCTAAATTCTGCTTTGTACATTCATTCAACTGCTACCACAGCCACCATATCATCAAGTACACAACCGTATAGAAGCTGATCTACTAACAGGAGTCGAATAATTTGACAGGAAATTATAAGTAACAATATAAACATGAAATGTAGAAAAGGTTTTTGTTCTATGATAACGGAAAATAATCGAATAACACAAATAGTATCAATCATGTGAACTGTCATTAAAGTCAAAAAAACCGCAACAACTTTGATTAGTAGTGAATATTAGTCAAAGTTTAAACAAGATGTTTAAAAACTGAATTGTGATCAAGTCTTACTAGTGTAGGAAACCAGAAGATCGAGACGAAAGAAAGAAGGAAGTCTTCATTTACTCTTCTACTTCTCTCTTGATTTGCTCTTCATATGCCCTTTGTTATGCCTTGGTTTTCTTTTGGCAGAATTCTTTCCCATTGCTGGTAATTTCCTATGATTTTCGGTATCTTCTCAATATATAGTAGTTATATCCAACACCAACATCAAGTCAGTGCTTCTATATGGTTCACAGACTTGGCGCCTTATGAAAGGCATTTCCAACAAACTACAGACATTCATCAACAACTGCTGCCTACGCTGACTCCTCACTGAAGATCAGATGAGATGGCGAGAAAGAATAAGCAGCAAAAAACTCTGGGAACGAACCGACGAAGCAAGAATCTATCCCTCAACAAATATGCAGTGGAAGGAAGTGGAGATGGATTGGGCATACACTGAGAAGGCCGACAGGGGACATCACACACTAGGCCAGGCACTCGAGCGGGATCCCCATGGGAAGCGACGAGTAGGTCGTCCGAGGCGATGGTGACATGGAGGAGATCGTGTGAGGAGGAAATGGGCTGTCGTGAAGTCAGGTTCAAAAGATTTCAGAGAACAGAGTTCACTGGAGACGTGCTACCAAAGCCCTATGTTCCATTAGGAACCCAAGGGACTAATAATAATAATAATAAACAAAAAACACACACATTCACACCCCAGTGAATGTGTATAAATGAATGATTATTTCATAGCCAAGTTGGTAGAGCATCAGGCTGGTAATCCATTGGTCGCTGGTTCGAATCTGGCCTTGGTTCAAATTCTCATTTCACCTTCAATCATAACCTCAGTATCAATCATCAATTTGTAGATTTTGTCTCCTAATTTTGTAATTGTCCTGTCAATAGTTATTTCATTGCACAACTAACACACTAAACTGATTCCCGTTCCACTATTCCATTCGATTTAATCTTCATTTAACACTGACTGACTGTTTCATATAAGCATAAAATATCAATTTGTGGTATCTACTATTGAGGTCCAAGTTCACATATCATCAAGGAATCAAGATACAAAGTAGCAAGATAAAAGATAATACAATAAAAAAGACAGTCATGTGAAGTACTAACACGTCATCAGACAGACAAAGAAAGACGAAGTCAACGTAGAACCTCGCACACAAGTGAATCATTTCAATTTGACACAACTTCACAGTAGAACAAGTGGATGAGAAAAATTGACATCGAAATTAGACAAAGGTGTATATAGAGGAGAGTGAATTTGAAGATTATGGTTAGTTATAACATTCAAGCTTTACAACACATTTGCGTCATTCTCACCGATTTCCAGACATCTCATCAAGAGTCCTCAAGCAC